CTCTCATAACGAATTATGAAACTTTCCGTGCTATTTTGTCATGAATTAGCAGGCCCTTCGGTACATTTCTAACACCGTTTGGAAAATCGACATCTTGCCACTGAACATATGGAGAGGACCCGTGTTTTGTGATTTTGCTGACGTTTTTCATGGTTTCATCATAGCCTTCTCGATTTCATTTGCTTTCCTGTTTTGCGTCCTTTTTTTGTCTCTCCCGCAGTTCTTGTTCTGCTAATACGAGTCGCGACGATGATGAGATGCGGATAAGGGAGGGTATTCTCTTTTCTGTGAATGATCATGAGTTTCTGGAGGTACTTTTTCCACATTGAATTTTTGCGCTATATGGGATTTTTTTTTTTTTTTTTTCCTTCATGCCCTCGACTTTCGAGATATCATGCATGATTTTCGAACTCTCTTTCTGTTCTCAACGTTTCACTTGGGTAGGGACGAAGTGTTAATATTTTGTTAGTCTTTTTTGTTGGTCTATTTGTTTATTTATCTGCATTTCGTTTCCTCGCTTTTCATATTCTGCTTTTTCGGGGAGGGGGTTGTCCTCCATATTTGTCCCTACTGTAACCTAACATGCAGGCAGGCGCTAATTTTGTTGTTGTAGTGAGCTGTGAGTGCATTTTATTGGGCGTTTTCTTCTTGATTTTTTTTTTCCCCTTCCTACTCGTTGGGTGCTTTATCATGTCAGGCGTTATTGGAACCGGTCAAAAGTGGATTTATTTTTTTTCCCCTTCCAGCTGTCTCTCATATCTCTTCTCGCTCATGTCCTTGCCCAAATTAATCTGTTCAGCGATGGTGGTATTCATGTTTCATTTCAATTTTTTTTTTTTTTTTTTTTCATAATCTACATCCGCATTGATCATTGAATTTTTTGAAAAAAAAACTGAAAGAAAAACAAGAAAAAGAAGATAAAAAAAAGAAGTAGGTCGTACCTCTCCAAAGTGGAAGTGGCTTTCTTTCGTCTTCTCTGTCATCTCCGCTCCAATCGATCATACTAGTAGGATAGATAGATGATGGGTATGGGATTTGTTGGCGTATCTCAAACGTTAAAAACAAACCAACTACAGATTCTTTCGGAGGGGCTTTCTCTCTCTCTCTCTCTCTCTCTCTCTCTCTCTCTCTCTCTTTCACATAAGAGTAATTCTCTCTCACTCTTTACTATGTTCCAGTCCCGCGCCAAGCCTAGAAGTCGGTGAGTGCATGCCAAGACCTCCCCGCGGCAGAATCTGGGCTGAAAACGCCGCTAGCAAACAGGCCATACACAGGCCACACTGCGTGGTTTGCTGCAAGGTTTCCCGCCAGAAACCACGCCGGAAAGCAGCCTGCCATAACGACCTGTCCACTGGGCCGATTTTGCTGGGGAGAAACTCACAACAACCTTGACCCCATTGCTTAGTCATTGGCCCTGTTTCCATTTTTTGCTTTTCCCTTTTCCTCATTTTAATCGGTTGATTTCTTTTTTTGGTTTTCTTGCGTGGAAAACTATTTAAACTTCCCTCATCCCCCCAACCCCCCACTGCGGGTTTTTTGAAGTTCTCTTCCCCCCCCTCCTTTTTTTACTCGCTGCGCTTCTACTTTTTTACTCTTTGCACCGTTACCTGCATACAGAAGAGACGCGTGTTTTCGCCACGGTTCCACGTTTTTTTTTCTTAGTTTTTTATTTTATTTTACTTTTTATTTTCTAAAGAAAATATTTTGTTTTCTTCTTCTTAAGTAGATAAATCATGACTGGACGTAAGTGATTTTCCTTTTCTCTGGTGGTTGAACCTGGTCGCTCGCATCCTCGCATCGTCGTCGTTGGTCGACTTGACACCTTGGCGGAGGGGGATCTGGCCCGTCCGGTCTTGGCGCCCATGCAGGACAAGGAACAAGGACACCCAATACAACTTACAACTTGCAACTTACAACTTCAACATCCAATGATCAACATTTATTTTTATTCACGCCAGGGAAATGGCGGGTTGGAATGAAGCCAAAGCATCAAATCATCATCGTCGGCCGGGTCCTAGATCCACACCAGCCTTGGTGGTGGTGATGGCTTGAGGCAAATTCCCCCCTCCCTCTTCTTCGAGAACGATAATGGCGATGGCGATGGCGATGGCGATGATGCTACTCCGACATTGATTGAACAGTTGCACCAGCACCACTGGCCCACATCACTAACGCAATTAACGAACCCAACAGGTGGGAAAGGCGGCAAGGGTCTGGGCAAGGGCGGCGCGAAACGCCACCGCAAGATCCTGCGCGACAACATCCAGGGCATCACCAAGCCTGCCATCCGTCGTCTGGCTCGTCGTGGTGGTGTCAAGCGTATCTCTGCCAGTGCGTTCCCCCCCTCTTTTCCTTTCCCGTCTGTCTGTCGTCCGTGGACATAACTAACCAACCCCCTCCTGTTCCATTTATACAGTGATCTACGAAGAAACCCGCGGCGTGCTGAAATCCTTCCTTGAATCCGTCATTCGCGACGCGGTCACGTACACCGAGCACGCGAAGCGGAAGACCGTCACGTCGCTGGATGTCGTGTATGCGCTGAAGAGACAGGGTCGCACGCTTTACGGGTTTGGCGGATGAAAAGAAAAAGAAAAGAAAACAAGAAAAGAAAAGAAAAGAAGGGTCTTTTTTATGTTTTGTTTAGTTTTGTTTTTGATTAATCTGGGCGTCTTCACGGGTTGATTGATGGAGGCGGGGCAGGAATACTGCTTGTTATTTATGCTTACCATCATCGTGGGACGAATGGACACGGGGGGTGGACTCTGAACTGGACTGGACTGGACTGGACTGGTTCATGGGTGCAAACTCGACTTTTTCACTTTGAAGTTTTGACGCTTTCAATTTTCTTTTTATTTATTTTTGTGTTTCCGACGACTTGCAAGTTGCGCGTTTCCCTGGATGGGTGTGGGAGGGAATTTTGGGATTCATTGGGATTATTGGTTACGGGGGAAATGTGAACAATTTTAATTATTTTATATTTTATTGTCTTATGTACTTGTGTCTGTCTGTCTGTCTATCTGTCTGTCTTTGAGAACGGGCGGTGGAATTGAGTTGAATTGAACTGAATTGAAAATTGGTATCACATGCGCTCATCCATATATTATCGTGCACTTTTAACACACGGCTGGCTCATCACTGGAATGGCATTTGGTTTGCAAATGGATCGTAAAAAAAAAAAAAGACCCATTTGCTAGTATTTCTTCTTCCATGGCATCAATCAACCCACGGAAGTTTTTTGGCGTCTACACAGCGTATAGTATCGATCCAGGTTGGACAGTTCTGGACTCTTGCCAAGACAAAGAAGCCAACCCCGACCCCAGACTCCAACGTCATTCATTTAATTCCCCACCAAGCCACGCGCCAACTTCTGGCGACTCTGCTCTCTCACCACCATCCCCACCTCGTGTCGTCGGTTCATTGTCCCGATCTTCCAGCTCTTGCTTCCTCTCCGTATCGAACTCGAGTTTGCGACAGGAAGCATCCGCGGGGCAATTCTGGCTTGGTATGCATTATTACATAGCTCCGTCGCGATCCCGCCAAGTCCAAGTGTGTGTGGCATTCATTATTTCAACCGAACTGTGTTAGTTAGGTTGATAAATGCGGGGCCCCACCCGGCAAGCAAAGAGAGGAGAAAACGAAGAAGCGATTACAGAGGTTATACGCAGATAGCGAGGGGCCCCGGATGTTGGATCTCTCGTGAGGGGACCGTGGGGGGAATCCCTATATACATAATTGATTTCGTTTCGGCCGAACCCTTCGCTTCAGACGGTTACCAATCGGGAGAAAGGGAGAAAGGGGGAGGGGGGAGAAACAATAAAATTACATAGGGTACATAAATAAACCAATAAATCAATCAATGAAGATGTCAGACGATCAAGATCCCACTTACGAGGTTTCAATTGTACGGCTCCCTCCTTCCTTTCCTTCCTTCCTCCTTCCCTCCCTCAAATACCCCAGAAAACCACAAAATATCATTATGTTATATCAAATGGCTCGGGGCGTCTAACTCATCCCTCCACCGGAACAAAAAAAACTTCGCCACATAGGAAAACTTCCAGCTCTACTACATCTACCATGACCCCGACCACGATGCGGCCGCGGTCGCGGCCGCCACTACTTACCGCCCGGACAGCGAGGATTGGAAATCCGCTGTCCTGAGGGGTCCGGCGCTGCCGGCGCTTGGCCAGGCGGTGGCTGGTGCGGCAGGCGCGGTTGTGTCGACGATCTCGACGTATCCGTTGAGTTTGATTGTTACGCGGTTGCAGTTGCAGAGGCAGTTGAAGGGTATGAGGGCGTTGGAAAAGAGACGGAAAGAGGAAGGGAAAGGGAAAGGGAAATGGAAAGGGAAAAGGAAGGATGAAGATGAAGATGAAGATGAAGATGCTGATGTCGATTACGAAGATGTGGATGAAGGCGAGTATAAGGGGATTATAGACGCAGCGAGGAAGATTTACGAGAGGGAGGGTGGGCTGCGTGGGTTATACGCTGGGCTTACGCATGCGACTGGAAAGGCGGCTGTGGATTCGTTTGTGTTTTTCCTTGCGTATTCATTCTTGCGGCAGAGGCGGTTGCGGGCGAGAGGGCTGCGGATGCATGGAAGCTTTCTGCCGGTGTTGGATGAGCTGGCTGTGGGATATGTGGCGGAGGCCTTCACCAAGTTGCTGACGATGCCGATCTCGACGGTGTTGACCAGGAAGCAGGTTGAGGGCCTTGCGTCGGCTACAGCAGCAGCGGGGAAGGAGAAGAAATCACCCACCTCCTCAACGAGAGATATCGTCTCCGCCATCGTCGCCCAAAAGGGCCTCACGGGCCTCTGGGCCGGCTACTCCGCCTCCCTCATCCTCTCTCTAAACCCTGCCCTCACCTTCCTCCTCAGCCAAGTCTTCAAATTCTCCCTCCTCCCGCGCGACAAGCGCAGACGGCCTCCTGCATCGGCCACGTTCCTCTTCGCCGCCATCAGCAAGGTCATCGCCTCCTCCCTCACCTATCCGTTCTCCATGGCCAAAACGCGCGCACAAGCTGCCACCTCCGCGTCCACGTCTTCATCCGCTGCCCGCCCGCCCCCGACCATCCTCCACGCCATCTACGCCATCGCTCGCACAGAGGGCCTCACTGCTCTCTACGCAGGCCTGAGTGGGGACGTCCTCCGCGGCTTCTTCAGCCACGGCATCGCCATGCTCGCGAAGGACACCGTCTACAGGCTCGTGGTGCGTACGTATTACCTCCTGCTGATGATGTTGCGCCGGTATCCGTCGCCGGAGGAGTTGTTGGCGCGGGCGAAAGCGCGGACAGAGGAGGTTGCGGAGGAGGTGAGGGGAGGGGCCGGCGGGTTGGCGGGGAAAGTCGCGGGGAAGATGGGTGATGTGAAGGAAGCTGTTGTCAAGGGGGTGGGAATGGCCGGTGGGCGGGATGCGGGCGTTACGGGGAAGACAGTGGGTGGCGCGGAGGTGGCCAAGAGAAGGGTGGTGGAGGATGTGTATGAGGATTCGAACGCGACGGCGGAGATGGTCGGGGAGTATGTAGAGGATGAGGCAGAGGAGTGGAGGAGTATGTATCGGTGGTTTTGGGATAAGGGGAAATCATAATTGCTCATTCATTCCTTCTCTTCTTCACTCTGTCCTTTACCTGTTCTTTTTTTCTTATTTACTGTTTCTTCTTTTTTTCTTTTTGGCCCTGCTTCCTTTGATGTTGACTGTTCCGGATTGTTTCATTTTCCCCCTTTCTCCCCCCGTGTCGCCCCTTCATGATCTCGGCGGTTGGGATCGATGGGAATAATGGGCTTTCATCCAAATTTTCATACAGGTTGAGAACAGATTGTCTTTTATTGATGCTATGCAGCTACATACATACATATATTATAGGGGGGGGGGGGTGAGGATGTATACTTACTTATTCCCATATTTATGCGCTGCCATTTTGCAATAGTGGTAAAAGAAGAAAGAAACCACAATGTCAATATAACATATATATACTCTTGCCAACCCTGTTTAAAAAGGTGCCGAGATGGTTGAAGCGAGCTATCCCACACATAGCCTGTGCCGCAAATTGCTTGCGCATCTATCGGCATACCATAGACATATATATATATAGTCTTTTGAACTGCCGACTGCGCAGGGGATCAGCTTTCCAGGTCGGTGTTTTCTGAAATGGAATAAATCCATGTAACTCTTTATGAGAAAAATTAATCCATACATACAAATTGATATTCCACGGACTCTAATCTGTCACGTGTACTGTACTCCTATATATATATGGATGTATGCACGCGCAGAATATACAGACTGGAAAAGGAGGGGAAGAACCAGCTCAAAATAGCGAGAAACCGTTCAGGTGAGTAAACTAGAAAAAAAATTATATATATATACTGTACAAAATATGCTGCTGGAATCAAGATCTTCAAGATTTCCTTTCCCATATAGAAACATATCGTTTTTTTAGGGATTCTTTCTTATTTTTGATCCGCTTCATTGTCTTCTTCGGCAGGGATAAGAACCCCATTTTCCTCCAGGAGTTTGGACAGCTCTCCATTTTGATGCATGGACATCAGGATATCACACCCACCAACAAACTCCTTGTTTAAGTACATCTGTGGGATGGTGGGCCAGTCTGAATATTCCTTAATACCTAAAACATAGAACGGGGTGGTTTTGTTAAAAAAATAATCATTGATGTTTGATATGCATTGACAATTGTTCATTTGGATCAAGCATCTTCCAGCCTAGGAAGATGTCAGGGAGAGAGGGACACACACCTTGCCGCAGCTCCGCGTCCTCCAAAACATTGAATGCGGTGAACTTCCTTGGATCCACCCCCTGTAGTCCAAGAATCTGTATGCTCGCCCTTGAAAATCCGCACTGTGGTGTTTCTGGAGTCCCTTTCATGAACAAAACAACCGGTGCAGATGCCACTGCTTTCTCGATGGCAGCTCTTGTTTCGCTGGAAAGCAGGCGGATTTGGAATGGAAGGGTCCTAGTATTTAGGAATGGCGATGATCTCGGCTTGGGGAGAGATCTCAAAAGCTATAATTAATTTCAAGATAGTTAGTGTCTTTCTCATTCTTCACAGGAAAAAATATTTTTATTTGAGATCACCAGAAGACACACTTACAGAGCTCATGCCTATTCTTGCAACCATAGTTACAAAATAAAGTGATGTTGATTTCCAAGCAAAGAATTCATGGAGAGCAAAAGTTGATTCAGACAACTCCGCAGTATGTAGTTGCCAACCCCAGACGCTAATCCGTAGTAGGAAGGCTAAGACTCCAATCTAATTAGATACGTAATGCCATCCCAAGTCACGGGATCGCCCCGCTCCGACCTTCAAACCTCCGCCTCCGACTCGCGATGGCGTCTGTTCGTTTTGTCTGCAGCAAACTTAGCTTCTCAGGTTCCTCAGTCGCTTTCGCTTCGTCGGGCTGGTCCTGACATTCGTCCAATTCGCCATACATTCCTTCAATTTCCCCATCCCCACCTAGATATGGCCCCCGTGAAACCCCAGCCCCAATTCGCACATCCGCCCTCCTGAAGTTCACTCCACGGTCTGCATCCCCTCCATCACGTCAATAATTTGTACATTCTGCATCATAGTCGCTTTCATAGCCCCAAGTGATTCTCATACCCTCCACTGCAATATAGGTAGACCATCTTCCGCTCAAACAGCACCCGTGCCACCTCAACAGTACCTACCAACCATGTCTCTCCTCCAAAACGAAGAGTAAGCGCCCCTGTCCCGTTACCGCGACCAACCCTATCCATTGCCATAATATACCGGCCAACTAACTCTCGCTTCGCCGTTAGCTTTACCATCTGGCAGCTCCGCACCTCCTACCTCTCCGCAATCAGAGACGGCGTCGGCGACCGCCTTATCAACATCAACTCCTCCATTCTCAACACTCCAAGTTTCCGCGCTGCCGGCTGGTCATCAGCCCCTGGTGCCAATGCCTCACATATCAAACGCACTTACTCTCCTCCCATCCCCACCGCCACGGCCGTTACGTCAGAGTATTTCCAGGTCAGTGCAAGGCAGAATAAAGGCTTCGGCGATATAAATGGTGGCAGTGATGGGCACAATGATGCTGCTGGACCCGCGGGTCTTGAATTCGGGATGGTGGACGATGGCGAGGAGGAAGAGGGTGGAATTGTGACGGGCCCGAAGGGCAGTGTGAACACTATTACGCAGCGACAGCCCAAGCGGGCTGCAGGAAGGAAGGGACGGAGGAAAGAGAGATTGGATGTCCCCAGATCGCACCACCAGCAGCACAGGCTGGGTGAAGTTGAGGACAATGATAGTAGTGATCTTAGTGATGAGAGTGATGAGGAGGTTGAAGGTGTTCGTGAACGCAGGTATGGTTACCGCTGTCAGGTTCGTTCATATGATCGTTAGCTTGCTAACCGTTAGGCTTTCAGGTCTATACAGCAAATCAAGTTTACCAAAATGCCGGTCCGGCGAACACGTGCTGGTTCATCTCCAATACGTAGCCTGGATCGTCGTGATAATCCTGATGTTTTTGTAACATCGCCTTCACTGAGGTCCGTCAATGACCGGTACCGGAGGGGTTCGCTTGGTGCAGTAGAAGCAGTAAAAGCTCGAGCACGCAGAAATACTGGCCCTAGTAGCGATATGTCATCAGACAACGAAGCATACGGGCCCGCTGTGAGGAGACGGCAGATTCATTTTTCTAACCACGAGGACGTGATTAATCCAAATGACAAACCACCAAGCGAAAAGCTGGATGAAGAAGATGAGCTAGAGGCAGGAAGCATCGAGGATGCCATCAATGATCACGATGAAGATTCAATAGCCGAGTCTGAAGGATCTGTTCTTTCTTCTGAATTCGGGGGCACTGCTGGATCGGGATCATTGCTGGATCGCGTCGGATCGTTAGACTCAGCATCGCCAATGATCTCCGATAAACTGCCATTGACTCTCGAATCACAGGGTAGTTCACCCAGGAAACAGAAACAAACGATTACTTCACCGGAGCTAAATGTACTTCCACCGCCTCGGCCCATCAGCACCGTTGAGCCCATCAGTCTTTTGTCTACAGCGCTCCGAGCACGAAAGAAGGCGCCTGCCAACCCTTTGGAGATATATGCTGCGCTATCGGGCAGAGGATCCAACACAACTCCACTATACATCAATTTCTTTATTCCGTCGTCCTCCCAACCAGATGAGCCTTTGGATGTGCCAATTATACGAGAATCGAAGGATTTAGATCACCCTGGTCCAGTTACCGTTGCCCAAGCTATCGGGCTGGGCCTATGGAGATATATGGAAGAACGCCGAAAGCCGCCACTTGAAGGAGAAATGCTCAATGTAAATCGGTGGAATCTCCGGATGATTGAGGACGGCGAAGTTGACTATGATTTCCCATGCCTAGCGAGAGGTAGACCCATCATTGATTTTACTTCCAACAACAATCGCGCCCCTACCGCGCGCGGACGGTCCAGGAGCAAGCCATACGACGAATTTGCACTTGTGAAGGCGACGGCAGCTGAATTCGCGGAGAATGAGAAACAGTATCCCACGCCGAGTGCTGATGAAGTCGATGAGCCGGAAATTACTCTGCCGATAATACAAGTCAATCAGGATAACGCTAAAAACAGGATGTTTGGAAGGATCAACCCCATCCTAGGCCAGCCATTTTCATCCGCGTTAAATGATAGCACTCTCACCCCAGCCGATCGCCCCGCTGTACCTACATCATACGCCACACCTAGAATGGGCGTCACCAAGACATTGAAGGTCAGATACATTGACCTAGACGCAACGCAAACAACCTCCATGAACACATCTACAGACAGCTACATCGCCGAAATCCTAGACTCCGTCTGCAAGAAGTGGGGCCTGGACAAAGGCCAGTACCTCCTTAAAGTCATGGGCTCCAACACCGTCGCCCCGCTAGACCGAACCGTAGAAGCCCTGGGCAGTATCACAGACCTGGACCTTGTCCGCCGCCGATTCGGCACTGGCCCACTCTCCATCACCGGATCCCCAGTCAGCGTCTCACCCAACGCGCCGCTAATGGTCGAAAACACGACCTCTCACAGTGCCAGTTCCAAGAAGGGCAAGAAGGGCGGCAGTGGCACGGGAGGCGGTCGCATGCTGCACCCGCTCGCGCACACCCAGGATCTCCTGGGTGGCTACTACCGGCGCTACAACGTCATCCGCAAGCAATCCATGTCGTTCACGGCGTCGAATCAGCGCGTGCTCGCGTTCGACATGGACTACATGCATATCATGCCGGCGGAGACGGGCAAGACGCTCTTCGAATCGAACAGCAAGACGACGTCGATATCGTTTAATGACGTTGTGGGGTCGAAGGTTAGCCGGAGGCATCCGAAGAGTTTCCGGGTGGTGGTGTTGAGGGGAAACGCGGCGAGTGAGCAGAAGAGATATGACTTTGAGGCGAAGAGCGCGGTGGAGGCGGCGGAGATTGTGGAGGAGATCAAGAAGAATATGTTGCAGTATCATGTGTGATTATTGCGATTGTGCGATTCTGTTATTATTCCTTTTGCGTTTTGCCTTTTTGCCTTTTCCCTTTGTACAGTACGTGCTTTCTCTGTCTTTTCATTTACAACTAGGCGCTTGTGGTGGTGTATTGGGAATAGCTCTGCGACGTGTTTAGGTATGTATATACTTAGGATTGAATTGGCTGGATTGTGTATTTGTTTTTGTTTGAGAGCCTGGAATGGACCCGGGCTATATTCATGTTTTCCTCTGTTTTACTTTTTGTGGTTTTGAGAACTTCCCCCCTTGTTTTCTTCTCGTTTATCGCTTTATCCGCGGATAAGTAAGATAGCGAGGGACAAAGCAGGGAAAGGAATCCAAACAGACCGTTCTCTTGATCCAGTTGATCCATGATTTCATCTCTTATGTTGTCATTGATTTTGGGAGGTGGAAGAAGCAAAGGAATCAGATACGCATGTTCTATTTTGCAGTAACTAACTACCTTAGCCCGCACTGAGACACTTCATCTTTATTATGTAAAATAAATGAGCACTGTGATATACAACATACAATGTGAGTGATACTCCCACGCCGCAGTTGACAGCAAGGTAGAGGCTATATAGCTTTCGAAACATAAAACATAGACACAATAGTCCTGGGATGCAGTTGCGGGTCCTAGTATAGACGTAAATAACCCTAACCCCGCCGCGGAAGTCCTCCTCCCCTTCCCCCCCCCCTAGCCCTAACCCTAACCCCCAGGCCTAACCAAGCGCCGGCAGCTGCGGTGGCAAGCCCGACACGCCCGACGAAGCCCCAACGCACCCACGCCCGTTCTAGTCCGCCTGCGCCTACACACAGCCCCAACCACACTCACCACCGTCAGCATCCACCAGCATCCACCAGCATCCCACCAGCATCCATCCACCAGCATCATCTGCTTATGACCCCCCATTCTTCAACGACTTCTGCTTCCGACAGCCAATTTCCTCTCCGCGTTCGTGACGCTGCACTGACCTGGCTATCCCGCCCTCCGTCCGCCCGTTGCTTCATCCGCCGCCCTCGTTTACCTTTCTCGGTACCCACACAGCAATCTGTTCACTCCGTCGGATCCGTCTCATCCCGACAATTCACGGCCAAAGCAGCTCCTCCCCCAAAGCTAGGGGAAACTATATTTTCGCATGCACCGGGCAAGGGACACGAGCCCAGAATAGGAAAATAAACAGGACACAAGGGAAGACTCCACGTAGAGCGACTTCGTCCAAGGTGTCAACCGCCATTGTCCACCTCCCCCACTAACGACCTATCGTCGCCATTGCCATTGTGTACGGGCCTGAGTGAAAGCCCTCAATACACTCCTGCTTAGGTGTTCCATGCGGAGTCTAGGAAACCTGCTCAAGAAGCGGACGAAGGATTCTCGCGGCTCGAGGGACCTGGATCTGCCCGCTTCGCCAGTAACGGAATCCTCGTCTTCCCGCAACAATAGCACCAACGCCAGCACTCCTCACTCTATCACAGCGACGACGACCTCTCCATATCCCCCTCCTCCCCCAAACCCCTTGCTCCAACACCCGGCGTTATCCAGCTGTGATTCTTCTGGGGGATACCCCACAGCTTCCTCCCAAAACGCTAGGAGTTTCAGCACTCAGCCTGCCGCTTCAACCACCGCTCCTACGGCGACAGGTGCCATTACTTCCTCCTTCACACCAACAACAGACGGGCCCGCAGCCGCAGCCGCCTCGTCTCCACCCATTGTTTCCTCCAGTCTTCCAACCTATCGCGCAGCTTCTACGTACAGCAACAGTCTCCCATCTCTACCCATGAGCTCAATCCCCTCTGTCCCTAATGCCTCCAATATCGCCAGCGATCCCACCCAATTGAAGCAGCAACAGCAACAACAGCAACAACAGCAACCACCATCACCGCCAAAGCACTACCAAAATGTCGCCAGCATCAAAAATATCATACACCCGCCCAATCAAGATGAAGTAGAGGCGTCGCAACATAAAGTCAACCATGGCCAACATGCATCGCAGCCACAACAACAACAGCAGCAGCAGCAGCAGCAGCAGCAGCAAAAACAACAACAACATCATCATCATCATCATTGCCATCAACATCAACATTGTCATCAACAACAGCCATCGCAACAACAGCAACAGCAGCAACAACAGCAACAACGAGCTGCCCAGGTATCTACGCGACCGACCAAGGGGAAGTACTCGTTAGATGATTTTACACTACAGCGGACGCTAGGGACGGGCAGTTTTGGGCGTGTTCATCTGGTTCAATCGCGACACAACCAACGATTCTATGCGATAAAGGTGCTCAAGAAAGAGCAAGTGGTGAGGATGAAGCAAGTCGAGCATACAAATGATGAGCGAAAGATGTTGCAGCGGGTTAAGCATCCCTTTCTTATCACGCTGTGGGGCACCTTTCAGGATGCCAATAATCTATATATGGTTATGGACTTCGTGGAGGGTGGAGAGTTGTTTAGTTTACTGAGGAAGTCACAAGTATGGAAAGCTCTCTCATACCATTATTATACATAGTTTTCTTTTCTTTTCTTTCTTTCTTTCTTTTTTCTTTCTTTTTTTTTTTTTTTTTTTTTTTTTTTTTTTGATGCTAACTATGCCATTGTGTTCCTTTAGCGTTTTCCCAACCCCGTTGCGAAATTCTATGCTGCTGAGGTTACCCTTGCGTTGGAATATCTGCATGATCATCACATTATATATCGAGATTTGAAGCCAGAGAACCTTCTCCTCGATCGGCACGGCCACTTGAAAATCACAGATTTTGGATTCGCCAAGGAAGTCAAAGATATTACATGGACCTTGTGCGGGACACCTGATTATCTTGCACCGGAGGTGGTATCATCAAAAGGATACAATATGTCTGTTGACTGGTAAGATATATATACCTCCATTTCTTTTCCCAGCTTGCCGAAACTAATTAGTCTAACCTACCTTGCTGAAAAAAAAAGGTGGTCCCTTGGCATCCTCATATTCGAAATGCTCTGCGGTTTCACTCCGTTCTGGGACGGTGGCTCCCCAATGAACATCTACAAAAACATCACCAAATGCCGCGTCAAGTACCCGCCTTACATGCACCCGGACGCTCAGGACCTTCTCTCCCAACTGATCACGCCAGATCTTACGGTACGACTGGGGAACTTGCACGGCGGCTCGCAAGACGTGAAGAACCATCCGTGGTTTGCGGAAGTGACGTGGGATCGATTAGCGAGGAAGGATATTGATGCTCCTTATATACCACCTGTGAAGGGAGGGCAGGGCGATGCAAGCCAGTTTGATATGTATCCCGAGGAAACAGAGGCGTATGGGGCTGAAGGGGATGATCCGTATGTTTCTTCTCTCCTCTCTCTCATTTCCCTACTTGATACCATACCTGCCTACCTACATGCCCGCCTCCGTGCTTTGACTTCTCGCCATTTAGGCGAAGAAGAACGAAAGAAAAAATATGTCCGTGTTGCTAACGGAATTCCTCACTCAAATAGATATGGTCATTTTTTTTGGGACTTTTAATTTTATTTGCAAATTCCTTTTTTGATGATATTTTCTACAAATAGAAAAATATCAAAAAATTAAGAAGGAAACGAAAGAAAAGCAAGAGGGGAAAGACAGAAAACCCGTCCCGATATCAAACCCGTTACGCAATCCACCCTTACCTCCCTTGTCTTATATTTTCAACCGAGAACAAATTAAACAGGGAGGCTGTCTTTTTTCTATATCCCGCCTCCAGCATTTTCTGACGACATCTTCTTCTGATATATCTGCAATCCTATTTGCATTTGGGAGGGTCTGCCTTCCTTTCTCTTTTTTCCCTCTTCCTATTTTTTTAATCTTCTGGAAATTGTTGGCCTTGTTTTCGGGGCCTTCTTTTCTGGTGTTGGTCTAGATGTCCTGGCAGATGCTTTCAGAATACTTCTTCTTTTTCTTCTTGATATCAGCTTATTTTCTTCTATCTTTTCGTCCCCGCCGCCCTTCGGCCTGCCGTGGGACCTCGAGTTTTGATTAATTGGAGCCTTAATATTTTTGTCTGTGGTTGGGTAGTTTTGGATGTTCTTTTTTCCCTCTCTTTTTCATTTCTTCGATTTATTTTATTTCTTTCGCTAAAATATCACCGGCATACGTGGTGAAGACTAGTCGTGGGGTTTTTATTTTTATCTTTATTTTTTTATTACTTTATTTTTATATACCTCAAGCCGGCATGAAGAGATGAGTGAATGTTGAATGTCATGATGCAAAAGAAGCCAGACAGAGCTGTCTCTGCCAGCCGCTTAATACTGCGTGGGCCTCTTGCCTGATCATGGTCATATTGTAATATATAATTATAGGCTTTCTGTTATCCTCTTAGCCCCCGCCATATGTTTCTCCTCTTTCTGTGCTTTGATTCCTTTTCGTTCTTTCTCTTTGTCTTTTCCGTTCTCCGTCGAGGAAAGAAGATTTCTAAGTTATGAAAATTCTTACAGAGTCATGGAACAAAAGTTCTTTTGCACGTTATAGAAACAGGCGGAAATACCAATAGTTACTGGAGCTCAAACGCTCAACGCACCCTTTTCATGGATTGGAATTCATGGAGGTACGGCATCTAATTCGGCACCCCAAGCTTTGAGCAACAAGCCCTTTGAACCTCCCCCAAATCAGTAGCGGCTTGCCACGGAGGGTTACCATATAGATTTCCAGAGCTTGCAAGCAATTCCTCCGTACCTTCTTTTTTTTTTTTTTTTAAAAAAAAAAAGGGGGAGGGGGGGGGGGGGAGGGAATATTATTATATACAAAGTTATGACATGACTATTCATTTTCATATGCGTTCCTGAATTTTTCTACCGTCATGCAGAGGTATCGCAAGTCTACCAGGCAGCGCCCATTTAGGCTGTATTTTCACATATAGTCCGTCAGTTTAGGCTAAGAGGGGATCATAAAACAGATATAAAAAGTGGAGGAAACTACAAATACAAGATTATTTTAAAACAAAAAGCGGAAAGAAAAGAGAGAACATGCAAAATCGATATCCTCCGTGAAGAAACTGGGGAAGGGAAAAAAAGAAGAAAGAAAGAAAGAAAGAAAGAAAGGCAAGGGGATATAGATATACAGATAGATGACAGATCTCCATCGCTCCCATCCAAGAAAAAATGGAAGTCATCGCATCGCATCCCAGATCAAACTCTCACAACACATTCTGTACAAACCGGCCGTCGTGGATCGAATAATCATACCAAACTCATTCCATGCCCTTCATCCGTACGTATCCAGTTCGATCCAGCCCAGCCCAGTCCGATCCAATCCCAAATCCAACTCCAGCTCCACAACATAAGCCTGACCACATGCCAACCACCATCCATTCCATCCTCCCTGCCAACAGGAGCACACGCATAAACTCCGCCCCTAAAATATACCGCCGCTCCCGCTCCCGCTCCCGCCGAGCGGGGAGCTACCGGCAAAGCCGGCCTTGTGTTCCTGGTTCACGCGTGCGCCGTAGGCGCGGCTCGTGGCGTTCCACAGCTGGATGTACTTCTCCATGCAGGCGGTGAGGCAGGTTTGTTCCTTGGAGGAGAGGCTGGAGCCTGGGGATGGGACGCATTTTTCGAAGCAGTTTTCATTTACTTTCTGGAATCGGGGGTTAGCTTTTGCGTTGGGGTTCCTTATTTTTTACTTTTTTAAATTATTTTCTTGGAGACGAGGTGAGGGGCAGGTAGAGGAGGTCACGTACGCCGATGAGGGAGCGGGCGTTATTCAGGGCCGATTCTTGTTGGACCTGGGATATTATTGCAGATTTTGTGTCGGCGGAGGTTTGCGGAGAGGCGGAGGAGCTGTTGTCGGAGAAGGGGTTTGATAGGGACATTTTGGAGATAGGGTGAGTGTGGGCGAAAGCCTGGAGAGGGTGTCAAAGAGGCGGTACGTTGGAATTGGCGAGGTTCCTGCGACAATTGAAATCTGCTTCGTCTCTTAATTTATAGTTACATATCTTGATCTGCCAGAGTTTGATATTTCGGCGACGACGATGAAAGCCTCAAGGGCTGCTTACCTCATCGTCACATGATTTCGGGCGGCTGTCAACGCTTGGAAGGAGGAAGTGGACAGATTGAACATTCAACCGCAGGAGCTGCAACATCGCCAGCCGACAGCTGCTGTAAACGCTTTTCCTACATTTCATACTATTCGCCGGCTTCGGGAATGCGAGCGAGCTCATAACGGGATCCCTTGGACGTCTCAATGCGTTCTATCCTAATTCGTCCGCTGTTGTGATTTCCATCCAGATCTGCACACCACCCGCCGCCAGAGCAAGGAATAAAGACTTGCTGATGTCCCGGCGACACGACACTCCTTGACGGCGCTCTCTCTGACGGTCGTTCCACCTTTTTTCCTTTGATCTCTCTTGCGAGTCAAATATCCCCTGCCGTCCGCTACGACCGGTTCCTTTCTCTTCTAATTCCCGCATCCTGTACCTCCACCTCCGCTCGCCCTCCCCTCCCCTCCGCACCGGAACCCGTCTGCGCTCTGTATTCACGGACAATGCTCGTACGACTGCTCACGATCCTTTGGCTATGGGTGCTGGGCTTTGCCCTGGGCGAGGAATATGGCTTGGAAGATCGTAACAATTTCGAAGATCATCCCGATGTCAAGCGTGTCCCAGTATGTTGCTTTTACCTACATATGGTCCTATTGTTTTACCAAACTCCAATCACTAATCATTGGCTATTTCCTCCACACGTCTAGATGATCGCATACAGTTTATCCCAGGTGTGTTAGAACAAAGGACTCAGCTTCCAATGCAGATATGAGCTCGCAATTGACTTATTGCCTCTCCATAGCCATATCTAGATTCAGATTCTGAAAACCGATGGTTCGATTTTGGTGGTGATACCGTTATCCGTACCGATCGGTATGTTTTTGCGTCTTCCGCTTCTTCTCAGCATCTCGACATGCCCCTGAACACTCAAGGGGTTACTTCTGCTTACTCTTATCTTAACGGATTAGATATATCCGCCTTACGCCCGATCGACAATCGCGACAAGGCTGGCTGTTCTCGCGCGTCCCGTTAACCGCGACCAATTGGCAGGTCAGTTCCCTTTCTTTCATTGGTCAAAAATAATCAGACGGGAAGTGCTGAATGTGGGTCCTGATATAGGTAGAAATTGAGTTCAGGATTGACGGCCAAGGAACCCTTCATGGAGATGGCATGGCAATATGGCTTACCAAACAACGAGCAACGAAAGGCCCTGTTTTTGGATTCATGGACAAATTCGAAGGATTGGGTATCTTCATCGACACCTACAAGAATAACCGGGGAAACCCTGCGTTCCCCTATGTCATGGCTATGCTAGGCGATGGCCAGGTGTCGTATGACCAGGCGCAGGATGGCAAACCCAATGAGCTTGCTGGATGCTCGGTAAGTTATATTTCCCTCCTTCTGATACTGATTCTATACATCTTTGATTCCCATGTCCCTACTAAAAACTAAAACAAAATAAGGCTCGAGGGATCCGCGGTGCGTCCGTCGCTACAAAGGCTCGAATAACCTACTTCCAAGACAAATTCCTCTCCCTCGACCTGCAATATAAATCAGACCTCTCCTGGACTTCTTGCTTCACCGTTGAAGCTTCTGAGGAGCAATCTATAAACATCCCCACAGTCGCCTACCTCGGAGTGTCCGCCGAGACCGGCGAACTCAGCGACAACCATGACATCATATCTATCGACACCTATTCGCTCTACAACAAGGCGCCCACAGACCAAGTTCCCATCTCCAGGGGCGCCGGTAAGAAGACAAGTTCCAAGGCCGGAAAGGGAGCCGCTTATAGCAGGGGTGGCGATGATGGTAGTGGTGGATGGTTATGGTTTTTATTTAAGATCATTATGTTCCTAGCTCTTGTTGTTGCGGCGTATGTTGGCTTCACGGCTTTTAGAGCCAGTCAAAAACGGAGGTTTTGATTTTTGATCTGTGATTTTCCCCAGACTTGCTTTGATACATGATAGCGGACGTTGTTTCTCTCCCCCTTCCCTCCACTCACACCTTAAATCTTTATATATCCATCTTTCCTTGTGTTTGCACGAATACTATCAGGTTTAGTTGCGTTTGCGTTGAGTGCAGCCATTGTTTCTCTATGCATCATATATATTATTTTTCTTATGTCTCTCAATCTCCCGCTTGCTGCTTTCCCCATCACCTTCTCTCCATTTTCCTTGTATTATTTTTATTCTTGCTCTCTTATACCGCCTCTCAAAAATACCTCCTATGCTGTTCACACTTGGATGAAGGAAGCAGGACCAATTTTCTTACATTCAGCTACATATGAACCTTTTTTTCGTCCATTGATTGAAAATTGGTAATCAATTCAAGAAGGATATACAAAACAGAATCGGGACAATTGTAGTAAAACGTTTTCATTTCCTTACCTTTTCTTTGTTACCAGGGGCGGATTATGGTTATCAAATCCTACGTGTCCGCTTGGATGCTTCAGCGGGCGTGCCATATACTGCAATCTAAAATCAATCATCAACTGTTCGTATCCCCTGCTCTCATTCTACGTACGGAATCTCGTTGAAGGAGAATTGGTGAAAATCACAGATAATAGCCGTGGAAGTACGCCGGCTACAATGAATACGAGGGAACCCCACCCACTCTCCAACAACCCCACTCTACGACCTCACCAGGAAGAAGGGGAGGCGGGGGATCGAATATGATGTAACGATTTTGGTGTGCCTGGTAGAGGTCGGTCCGTCCGCTATATTTGTGGCTTGACACAGTCAACATTTTACTGCAGGAAAAAGGGAGGAGAGAGATACAGGATCAGAGAGGCGATGTAATTGTGTTTGACGTCTACGAAGATGGGACACGAGTTGCTGGAAAGCAGTTTGGGTTTTCATTTTAAGTATATTTTTATATCTCCACCTTTTGATTGAGATTTGCTGATTGTATTGTCGTTGCGGATAGATGATAATAAGATAGGTATTATATTTTGGGTATTGGGAATACAACTCTATATTTCAATATCATGTGATGTGAGCTTGTCGATGTCCAACCTCAACTCAACTTCGCAACGGGTATTCACAATATCTACATTTGATGACTAGCATCATTTCCACTCGAAACTGCCGAGGATAAATAGGTGCGTTCCAATCGCCTATTCATATCTGATATACCGCAACCGCAAGTGGCCATAATTCACAGCGCTTCTTCCACTACGTTCCTTCCGATGCAAGCAAAATGACATCACTTAGTCTCTGGGCATCCCCACGGGTTTGCTACTTGTTTCCCAGGTATCTGGGGCCTTAGATAGTTAAATTACCCTGTTACCAACTGCGAAGCTCATAGGACACTACGCGCTTCTGGCAACACAGATGGATGACGAATATTCCACGGGCCAGCGGAGCAGATTCCGCTTCAAATCTAAACACAGCACAGGACGCTCTAAATCAAAATCAGAAGGTCGGGGCGGCGATAGCAGCCATGGTGCTAAACCACAAGCGCCATCAAGATCATCCCATCCACGTCACTATCGACGTCGACATCACCACCGCCGCCACTGGTCTTCCAAACGCCACAAATCCTCGTCCACATATGACGACGCCCAGCCTCCGGAACTGTCCCCAGACGCGGCATTCCGTGAATCTCTCTTCGACGCCTTGGCTGATGATGAGGGCGCGGCATATTGGGAATCGGTATATGGGCAGCCAATTCACACCTACGCACGTCCGGACGGGCGTGGTGAGCTGGAGCAGATGACGGATGAGGAATATGCGGCATATGTGCGTGCACGTATGTGGGAGAAGACTCACGAGGGGATCTTCGAGGAAAGGGAACGAAGGAAGACGGAGCGGGAAAAGCAAAGGAAGGAAGGCAGACGGAGGGATGGGGGGAGTGAACGTGAGGCGTTTGAAAGGATGATTGAGGAAAGCTTACGGAGGGGCCAGGAGAGGAAGATGAAAAAGCGTCAAGCGACTGTTTGGTTGGATGTCTGGAGAAGGTATTTGGATAGTTGGGAGGATTTGAATGTGCGAGCCCGTGCGGCAGCGACTACGAATTGCGCCACCACTTCTGCTGACAAAATGGACGAAAAACTTCGAAACCTCATTTTCTGGCCTGTTGAATCGGGTAAAAGAAGGGACATTTCTCCAGAGTCTGTGGAAACGTTTATACGGAACGCGCCTGTTTCCAGCCCGACGGACTCACCCGCTCCTCGCCCTGGCCCTGACTCGGGGCGGGGGAGCAGTATTCAGTCCCAAGCATCTGACATTCTTACTGTTTTGAAAATTGAACGGGTCAGATGGCATCCTGATAAAATGCAACATCGATACGGGGCGCTTGGGATGGATGATCAGCTCCTAAAGAGCGCCACAGAGGTTTTTCAAATAATAGATCGTATGTGGGTGGAGGAGCGCGAGCGCGGGAATAGGGGAAGATGAAGTAATCTGTGGTTTTCTCCCTCGTGCAGATTTTAATATTGGGTGATACTCTACTCAGTATGTCCTCGTCTGGCCTAGACCTACCCCGAGGTGTTTTTCGCGTACTTTGATACGAGTAACTTCGTGGTTGTTTATTGGCTTGATCATTCCAATTCGGGCCTCGGACAAATTAGTCTTCTAGATCGCGGGTAAAACCAAAACCCAACCTTCATGTTCGAAGAGACACAAACAGAAGTTACTGCACATAACTATGCAAAACTATTACTGTGTATGTCGAAGAAACAGAACGTCACTAAACCCTGCACCGTGAAACTGCAGCTTCCGGGTTCGCCCTCCTAACAAAAAGATATACCACCACTGCGAATTTACAAAAAAAATTAAAACCGTGATAGCGGCTATCATTCGCTTGGCGTTCAGATCCCTTTAAGTTGAGTTCCGAACGTTGGGTGCACTTTGAGCTTCCAATTGTTGAAGCTTTATATTCAGAGAAATGAGCTACCCGGACCGTAAATGTATTGTGGACATACGGACTCTGCAAATTTTGCTTGCTTGAAAGATCCATATGTGGTACGAGACTATTCTAGACCTGTTGGATCTTGGATGTGTGCCCTGATTAGCTTCTCGAACATTGGGGATTTACCATCAGCTAGCTCCCTTTGATATGGGCTAAATCTTGCATGTACAGTTTTGACCCCCCGGGATTAACACGTTTTTCCAAGGATCATCAATTGAGTAACCTAACATCGCGTCCTGTCAAATCGCAATTCCCGGTTATGCCAACCCAGAGAGAGATCCAGCATCGGCATATCCACGAGTGACAGGGTCACCTGAACGGCACAATGACTTTCGATCGCCATCTGCTGCCAAGTGTGATAACGATGGCGATGTGCATAAAGATACAACAGATCGGCAATCTTTCACACTTAAAATTGAATATGAATAAGTAGAGTCCAACTCAAAGTCATCGTCTGTTGCCCGCTCCATTTGCCCTTGTTGGAATATTGATGCAAACTGTGTCAAAACCGTTATTCCAAAATGTCGCTCTGTTTCATCCGATTCACCTTGACTCTGCTGCTCCTATGCAAGAATCTCTATGCGGCGGACTGCCCGCTTCTCGGCCAGGCATTTCCTCCACCTCGAATGCTTTCCAATTCATCGACCTGGAAGAAAGCAATCGAGGATTTCGAATCCAACCTCAAAGAACTTCTCTCCCAGTCTACTGACTTAGATGCGAGGACCACGTCATTTTCAATCAATATCTTTTCAAGTCATGAGGAGAACCTACTCTATGAATACCATCACGATGCCCCGGGTCTCAAAGGCTCAATTGCTAAGGGCCAGAAACTCAATGGAGACACAATGTATCGAATTGCAAGTATCTCAAAGGTTATGACGCTATATACCTTTTTGATCGAAGCTGGCTTCAAATATTTCAATGAACCTGTTGCGAAATTTGTCCCTGAAATTGAGAGGGAAATCCAGAGGCAATGGGGGAATATAGATGATACCCTGGTTCCACAATGGAGAGAGATCACGGTCGGTTCTCTAGCAAGTCAGCTATCAGGAATTGGTCGAGGAAAGCTCCCCATTATCCCTTTCGCTAATTGCAAGCTCTCTATATTAACCCGCCCTTAGATTATTACAACGACATGGCCGGCAGAGTGAACCAAACAGTAACGACGCAGTTCGGTCTTCCAGCTTTAAGTGATCCTGAGGTCCCCCGTTGTGGACAGAGGGGTCCTCACTTCGACCCTTGCACTCGAAGAGGCAAGCGTTAAACTTTGGCTCCATGTCTTGAATGCATTTATTTACTAAGCTTCGGTTTGCGCAGACATGTTCGCGGAATTCATCGGCCGTCATCCGGTTTTTGCTCCTTTTAGCACTGCTATCTATTCGAACGTGGCTTTTGATATTATTGGATATGCACTCGAGCAAATCACGAATGTTCCATTTGAAAAATCGGTCAAGCGCTCGATCATCGATCGACTCAAGCTCAAACGTTTCGGTGTCGAAACCCCTCCCGCCACCTGGGGAATTATCCCATCTGATCCTGTAACATCGTATTGGAACGCGTCGGTTGGATCCGGCAACCCTGCTGTAGGATTTTATTCAAGTGCGTCTGATCTGGCTCGGGTCGGACAGTCGATTCTGCAATCTCGTCTGATTTCAGAAACGGATACTCGACGGTGGCTGAAGCCCAACTCTCACACTTCCTCTTTGCTCTCTTCCGTTGGCAGCCCCTGGGAAATTTACCGATCATCAAGCCCAAGACTTGTTGATTTTTATACCAAATTTGGAGACCTTGGTAGTTACGGCTCCGCAATCGCCCTCATCCCGGACTACGATGTTGGATTCACGGTTCTGGCGGCGGGTGCAAACCCAGGGCGCCAAAGGACACTCCTTGCTGATTTAATTGGCAGTTTACTCAGCGCCACTCTAGAAAAAGAAGCCCGGATCCAGGCCATAGAAGCTTTCGCAGGAACCTACACATCCCCATACAATGAAAACGACATGACCACTGTGGTGAAAATCAGTGACGAAAAGGACAGCCCTGGTCCAGGACTAGCTATTGACTCGTTCTATCTCAACGGCGTTTCATTTGAAGACCTTGTTGGTGCATTCATCGGGGAACCGCGGGGAACTTTCCCTAAAGTAGGTCTCCGTCTGCAGCCCACCGGCCTGACGGCAAGGTACGCCAACAGGTCGCGCGGATCTGTCCGAGCACGAACCTCCTTCCGTGTCATTGCGGATATTCCGGAGCCGGGCGCCAATAATAATATGACCAAGGAGAAGATTTTCAGCGGTCCTTGTAAAACGTGGATGTTGATTGATGGCTTGCGGTACGGAGGTAGGTCTATTGATGAGCTTGTCTTCGAACTCGATGGAGCTGGGAGGGCTGTGGCGCTTGAAATGAGAATTACTCAACAGACGCTGCTGAGAACTGACGGTGGGAGCCCCTGATGATACCCTTTGTTTGTTTCTAATTCTCATTTTCAGAGCGATGAGAAGGATGGAAAGTCTGAAAGAAGCGATAGAATGCATGATAGTTATCCCTAGATTAAGATATCGTGCTCATTAATGCTGTTTTAATCGATTTTAAAAAATTGACTGATGATATATGAATAATTATTCTTTAATATTAAATCTACTGTACCGTGGTAGTATTTGCTTTTATTATTATTCATTCATCAAACTGTTTCATTGCATCTCCTTCCTCTCCAATATCTATCCACCTACGGAGTATTCTTCACTAAGTCAAACTCATATATAATTTTTCATCTCAACAGCCTTTCAATTTCTTATTTTCCTTGTCAGAAGACACTATGTAGACCGCAACCAATAATTATATTCCACTATATACAAGCCATCAACTAGTTACTTATCAAAGTTCACTCTGTTCAACAAGCCTCAATTGAACCCGCAGATTTATTTTTGGCTGCTAAAGCAGAGTTGTTCTTTTCCTGCCAACGCTTCTAGTACGTTTTTAACTCGACTTTCTAGAAGTATTTTCTTCAACCTCGGAGGATGAGCTCCAGTTATAATTAGTGAGAAATTAGAAATTAGCGCTAAGAGTTAGCCAGAACGTTAGGCCAAAAGAGCTCAATCACCACCAGCGCGCTGGTCGTGGAGAGGACGAACCAATCTAAACCCGTGATTAGCAACCCATCACAACTTATATATCATGTGATTTGCATCACCTTATCACCTCTGACTTTCAACAATCTGAACCACTGTAATTACCCACGAAACAACACATCTGATAGACATGGCACTAGTATCATATTCAGATTCTGAAGGCTCAGATTCAGAATCTACACCTGAGTTACCCAAGAAGAAGAAAGCAGCTCCCGCTACACTTTCCACTACCCTCGAGCCGAGTTTCCAAAGCCTCACTGATCGAGGGAATCGGCGCAAGATCCTCGTGAGCCTGCCCGACGCAGACAAACATACTACGTCTGATGCTCAGCGAAATGACGGCGACGATAACGGCGATGATGGTGACGGTCCTGCGAGAAAACGTCCCAGAATAGGTACTCAGAGCGGTGGCGGCGGTGCGTTTTCGTCCTTCAACTCTTTACTCCCGGCACCGAAGCGGAAGGGACCGGTTAGGCCTGGAATGGATAAGAAGGGTGATGGAACGGGAGCGCCTGTACGCAAGGTTTTTGCCTTGAAGACGGGGCCGGAACCGGGGTTTGACCGGCAAGCTGACCACCAGATGAGGTGGGATCTTAGTAATGGGGATGTTGATTCTGGGGCAATTGGGGGGGTTGTTAGGGATGGAAGGGATGGTGCATTTGGCGATGGGATAACTGAATCTACCAAAGAGAAGGTTGAGAAACTGGCTGTTAAGCCGAAGGGAAATGCGATGATGTTCAAGCCTTTGTCTGTGGCTAGGGCTACGACCATGAAGAAGGCTATGAGGAAAACGGCGATGTCGCTACCTGGGACTACGTCGCCGTCGGGAGCTGGAGGGAGGCCAGCGACTGAAACAGCATTAACACTTGGGCAGGGAAAAGCTGAAGATACCATATCTAATGCGGGCCCGAAGCCAAAAGTTAGTCTCTTTGGGCTTGGGAAGGAAGATGAACAAGCCCCGTCCGTTTCACAGCCCTCCTCCAGCCCGTATGTACCTTTGGTATACAGCACGACAGATCCCTCTACTACTTCAACCATTGAATCCTCCGGACTCACTGACCCCACCGTACCCGCCGAAACCACTGAACCCGGACCCCAAAATCAACCACAAACCCTCGCCAGCATAGCCGATGATTTGAATCTCACCCCTGCTCAGAAACGTCAGCTGTTTGGCCGTCAAGGCCTCTCCATATCCTCATCAAGTGCCACTGGTGAAAAACAATCGAACCCTAACATCATAACCTTCAACACAGATCAAGAGTACTCCTCCAACAACGCATTCCTATTGTCAGCATCTGACGCAGAACTGGCTGCCCAGCAACACAACCCCGTTCGCTCAATTGCGCCGGGTAAGCACAGCTTGCAGCAGCTGGTTAATGCGGTAAGTAATCAGCGCGATGCACTGGAGGAGAGCTTTGCAGCTGGCAAGAGGAATAAGCGAGAGGCGGGGAGTAAGTATGGATGGTAATCGAGGAAATTTTTGTGTGCGTGTGTGTGCGTGTGTGTGGAGGTTGGAATAGGGTTGGTAGGTCGTGTTTGGAAGATGGAAGGCGTCTACACTCCTATACTCTTCGATTACTGCTCGTATTACATTTATCTTGCATGTCTCTATACCCAGCGCTTTGCGAGCGCCGAATTATACTGCTCTTGATGGGAAATAAGATATGATGAAATTGTTATATAAATGGCTTTGCTTCAGGGTGCGAATTGTTTGGTTATGGTTTTATATGTTGAGTTAGGCATGGTCTAAGGAGTTTGATAAAAATGCGTATTTGCTTGTCGGCTTCCAGCACTTTTCGTGAAAACATTGCACTGGGGTGAGTTCCGGTGAAAGGAGGCTTGTTTTACCTATATATATATATATAAGCACTGGTACGATTCTGAGGTTCAATCATTGATATGATCGGTATATTGAATTCATTAGATGAAGCAGTAATCTAAAAGCCCACTGGCCGGTTTGAAACCCATTCTAGAAACTCGAAGAATATCGAAATAAATACATCCTAACTATGCACAACATATATACAAATCCATGAAAAGCTCTATCATACCAAAAAAAAATAAAAACAAGCCGTAGTAGAAGTGAAATGCTAGAGTTGGAAATTCTAAGCTGCTACATCGACAACTTCCGCAAACCATTGTTTTAACGCCAGACTCAAAATAGCCGGTAACTCCTGCACATCCCTAACCACCAGATAATATGAAAATGGAAATCCTTCCAGGTACCTCTTCATTTTCAACTTCATTTCTCCCGCCCCCGACCCATCAGGCTCGAAACTCGCTTGTGTTAGATCGAGGATGGAGCTCCCCTTCACTGCATCGACGATGATGAATACTATCATGATTCGTTCCTCTTGCGCTTGTCGAACTAGTCGGCGAATGGTCTCATGGTCTTCACAGATTCCATCTGATATGATGAGCTCCAGCTGCCAAAGGTCTCCACTCCCACTTGAGCGGGAGCGCTTCATTTTCGCCTCCCGGAACAAAGTAATCGAGTCTGAGATAAGTTTTCGAACATTTGTACCAGTTTGCTTGTAGCTAAACTGCTGGAAGATTTGGACGCCTGCTTCAGAAGAGAAAGTTTTGCCAAATTCATGAGCCACACGGACGTGGTCTTCGTCCCCGAAACTAACAACGCAGAGATCCCCTGCTTCCAGCATACTTAAACTCTTTGTAATAAGAGCGAGTGTCTCGAAGGCAAGTTGTCCGCTACCGCTCTCGAGCATTGATTTACTGTCGTCAACCGCAAGCATGATCTGGTAACTTCGCTTCGAAGGGACGGATCGTCGCATCCAGATCTTATCACGCTTGTACTGGGATGCGATGTACGGAATGATGCGCTTAATGTTGAGTCGTTTCCCGGTCCTAAAGTCGCCTCGCAGTTTGGTTGCCAGGGTGGGTGCGAGAATCAAGCGTAGCTGTTCAGTCAACGCAAGTGACAGGTCGTTGGTAATTGATTCGTAGTGAGACCAAAGGCGTCGGGCTTCCTCTGGAGAAGTCAACGGAGTCGTTTCTGAGCCGACATGAAAGGAAGAAAGATGAGCATCCATGTCTTCCATTTCTTGAGAGTCCGATGTTTGGCTATCTTGATGGGTGGGATCATTTTCCGTAATCCTATCACCAGCAACATATGATCTCGATGTATTGTTCTCCGACAGACCTGGTTGCTGGTCCAAATCCATTCGATCTTCTAAAGACTGTTCTGCCGGAGGATTTTCAGGCTCTGTGGCATCTGGAAGGAATTCGCCTTCTTCCGGCCTTACATCAGATTCGACGGCGTTGCTTTGATCGAGGCTTTTCGCTTGTTCCTCGGTTGCCTGGCCAAGCGCTTGAGTGTCTGCGGCATCCTGATCATCCGCAAGATGCTCAAAGTCCGCATCTTCCATGTTGGCATCCTGATTTTCATTTTGGGAAGTGTCTTGATGGTCAGAAGCCTCCTGGATTTGACGTTGACGGCGGTGCCATTGCTCAAGGATGTCGCCGAGCTTTTTGAATGCCTGTGTTTGGGAGTCATCTAGCTTGCCATCATCTCTACCGCCAGATGCATTTGTTGCTTCTTTGCCGTCTTCGCCCTGGTCAGCACTACCTTCTTGTAGATTTTGCTCGTCTGCCTGGTCCTTCGAGCCATGTTCTTGAGTTGCTTTGCCAGAGTCTCCATGCTCTTGATTTTGATCTTGGTCGACACCTTGACCGACAGAAACCTCCTCACTTGGAGCGATATCCTCTGCATCTGCTTGGTTATCTGTCCTTTCCGATTCCAAGAGCTCGTCTCTTTCCTTTTCTTCTGTCCCGGTCTCGCTTTCCTCTTGGTGACATTCAACGTCTTCTTGTCCGTTGATGTTTTCTTCTTCAACTTCGTTTGCGGACTCTATTTCATTTTCAGCTTGCTCTTGAGAGTCTAGATCTGGGTGATTACTAGATTCTTCAGGAGCATTTGGTTCACCTTCCCAGTTGCTCCTATTATCATCTGACAAATCACCAAGATCATCGTCAAAATCAGAGTCCTGTTTATCTTTGTCATCTTGACCATCGAGTTCCATGTCTTCGGGTAGATCAAGAATTGGTTCTTCCTTTGCATGTGGATCAGTTGTATCCATGTCCTCCCTCCCAACAGCTTCCCCTTCATCGTCAGGAGGTTCTGATCCCTCGTTTTCGCTTTCGTCCCCATTTTTACTTTCATTTATTTTTTCATTCTTGTTAGCCGACGCCGCAGTTTTGTCTTCAGATTCTGCGTCCCCTTTTCCTTGTTCGTTTTCGGTATCTTTCTGATCTTGATCATTCGTTCCATCCCACATTTTTTCATCAACTGCGGATGCGTCTAGCCTATCAACACTACCGGTTTCTTCATCAAGGTCCATGTCATCCTCATCTTCTTTGTCTGAGCAACTTCCGTCTTCGTTTTCCATTTCATCAAAATCACTCCTGTCCGCCTCAAGATCCTCTTGGTCCATATTGACAGCATCAACTCCTGTATCCTTATCCTCCTTGTCCCCATCCATTTGCTGTTTTTCTTGAGCCAGGTCAGCCAAGTCCTCGTCATCTTGAACGTCTTTACTAATATCCTCAGCACCTTCTCCATCCCCAAGTCCAGTCCCATTCTCCAACTTGTCAGACTTACCGTGCTCTCCAGCGTTCTCAGGAGGAGCACAGAAACCTTCCGACGCAATCTGGTTAAACGACTTCGCTAAGAGATATGACATTTTGCACGTTTCTCGGTGTAGCGCAGAATACCGGTGGAGGATATCAGTACATATTGACTGGTATTGTTCGGCAATTGGCATGATTACTGATATCGCGGCGCCAACAACAGCAAGAGAATTCGAATCCTTCTCCGATACATGCCGAATCCGGGCTAGAACACATCGTATGTCATCAGCAATATCGGCCATGTGGAGCTCTGCACATGCTTTCGATATAACTTGTTCGGTTTTCACTAGCCAGGCGGGAATATCCTTTGAAGGAGGGGCGGTGGACAAGGACGAACTAATTTTTTGCATCACAACAAAAATTTTGTCCATCACTGTGAAGAGGGAAGAGTCAAACTCTTCAAGTGAAATGCTGATTTGGCCATTGGTTTCCCGTGTGCTTGCTGTGACTCCCAATTCAGTCCATGGAAGTATCTGTTCCAGAGCAAAGGCCAACTCAGGATGCACGTCAATCCATTTTAGTATATCGGATCGCACGTTTGAAACTAACATCCGAACACTTGAAAATAGTTTTTCGTGGGTGCCGGTAGACAATCCCGGGGGTAGAATTTTTAGATCTTCGATTGAGACAAGTAGGTTGTTCAAGCGGGTTTTCCAATCGTTCAATGCCTCCAGGACTTCCGACGAACCAATTCCAGCAAAATATCCATGGATTTGAAGCGTTGAATTACAAACACCAAGGATGGTAGAAAGCCACCGGAGCGTTCCTCGGAGATCACGACGATCGGAGAGGCGGTAGTCGCTATTTGGCAAGAGGGAGCTGCGAAGATCGGATACGTTCCTCATTTGCTGCAGCGTGAGTTCAACCGCACTTAAGTTCTCCAATCTTAATGATAGAGTTTCCCTTTGCTTCAAAGCCCAATGTAGAAGACCTTCTATGAACCCTGCACTTCTACTAGCCTCAACGTTGCTAAGGTCTTCAGAGAACTCGACAGATGAAATGCGAACACGAGGCACTAGATCCAAAAATTTATGAAAGTAGGAGTCTGCGCTTTTAACATGAGACAAGCCAGCAGAAATTGTGAGAGGGCGTGTAGAGGAAAGGACGGACGCAACCGATCTTTGGCTTTCGAGAATGTCAGTCCCAACATTAGAACGAATGCCCATGAATCGGAGGTCTTTCAGTTTTTCTGCATAGAACCGCCGTTTTTGACCTTTGAGATGCTGAACATCATGCTTATTGTCTTCCGTGAGTGCCTTCGGTGTCTGAGATTTAAATTCGCCAATGGTATCAATTATGTCACGAGTGAATGCATCGAGCTCCTGATGGGCTTGTAAACCCTTTAGAGAGTTCTCATATACACGCTGCATGCTCCTGACTGCACCATCAGGATCTGTGAATCGCATGGGCTTCTGACTCCATGAGTGAATATTTTCATGACACACACGAAGGGCAATGGGTGAAACGGGATTGGGTAGTGTCACACGATTATCTGAGAATGATTCTGCTTTATCCGGAAGGCTAGAGAGTCCCTTCGACAATAAGCTCTCTGAGGATTGGCTGAGAAGACTGCGATACTTTCTCACAACCTTGAACAATTTGTTGTGGGAGCGACGTGCGCTTTCTCTGAGAGCATTGATATTAGTGTCCTTCCAGCTTGCCAGCTGAATCGTTTGTTGTATGTCACGTTCTAGTGTTTTTCTACCGTCACCGAGCGATTTTTCAAAAACAGATACAAATGGGAAGTAGTGATGAAGGAGGTTGTCAATACCAGCGCTCAATTGGTCCAGAGCTGGGAAGTCCAAAGCATAGAGTGTCAGCAGCATTTTGAATTTTTCAATGAGCTGCAGCCTAGACTTGTATTGGCCCATTGGAGTGGAGCAAATAAATTTCTCGAGGGTAGTGATGAGTTCGACGGAGTGTTCGATCAAAGGCTGTCCGTCTTGAACCAGCTGTAATGGGGCTGCAATTATCACATCATACGCAACAAACCACCAAGCACTCGCATCCTCGCTGCAACTTTCATCTTCGATGTCCAAGAGCCGAGACCAAGTAGATAATTCAATGCGCCGCCAACTTATGAGTAGAGCTGTTATATTATCATAGCACTGAGTGACAGAGAAATTTTTACTCGCGACAGCCTGCCACTCATAAATGAACGAATGAAGTTTCTCTGCTTTAGTGATAAATTTGGCTAGAGGCTCTTGGTGGTTGAATTGGAAAATCTCGGAGCAACAGCGAATAACATCCGCAATTGTAGCGTGTTCAGGCCACGAATTTTGGAGTTCTTTAAAACGCACGCTAATAGTTTCAACTAGATCTGCGAGCTTCTTGACCTCTACCAAGTTCGGGCTCGAATAAAAGTTGTAAGATGTTGGTTGTTTAATAGACTTTACATCGTCTAGGAATAAAATCGCCCCTAGCAGATGTGATTTGGGGTCCATGGTTGGGATATCTGTTGAGCTTTTTGCCATGTTAATACCAAGTAGTTTCGTGGAGTCTAACAACAATCGCTTCACTGTGGACTCTTTGTCGAGGTCTGAGAATAAATTGTTGAGTATATGAGAAAGCCTTAGGGAAATAGTTTTGACATCGAATTGTGCCAGTGTTCCAATTTCAAGGTCATCCTCAGTTGTGCCGTCGAACGTTGGGAAAAGTTGAGAAACCTCGGCAGCTTCTACTTCCTGATCATCCTCAAACGATCCTCGATAACGGTATAAGTTCGACTTTTCATAGTGTTTATTTTGGTCATCTTCTAGCTGCTGTTTCCAGATACCGGAAAAGTCCTCAAGAGTATCGCGGAGAAGTTGGCGATTTGCAGCAGTTGAAAGAGTTTCAGGGTCCGTATTTTGAAAGACCCATAGAATAGAAAGTCGTTGTAGTCCGATGTCGACCTTCTCCGAGTTAGACAGTCGAGAGGGGCGATTTTGCAGATCGGGGAGTGATACTCTTCTGGAGCTCATTAAGGGTGTAATCTGGCTCATAGCATGTATGAAACCTTGCTCCAAATGGGAATGAAGGTCAGAACACTGAACCAAGTCCACTCCGAGATGCAGTATCTCCAGGAATCGGATGACAGGAATGACAACGTCTTCGTACGCTTTATAATTTGTGCTGAGGCGAAGACATATTTGCTTGATATTTTTCTGGAGAAGTTCGCCTTGTTGCTTGGTTGTATTGGCAAGGTCTGGGTTGGCTGAGTCCTGAAGGGAACGAAGTATACCATCGGGATTCAAGTTCACAACTGAATTTAGAAGGTTGGAAAATTCTCCCTGTAATTCGCCAATCTGGGAAGGCTGTGGTCGAATAACTGGGGGCGAAGGTGGTATGTCACCCAACAACCGGAGCTCCTCTTGAGCGATCCGAATACGTAAGCTCGACTCTTGCCCAGAAAATGATAATTCATATGCTTTCAATGAATTAAGCTTCTTATTTTTCTCCTGGGCGCGTTGTGTGTATCGGTGTCTCTGAACAGCCAAGCCAAGGGACGGGTCGAAAGGTCTGTTTGGGACAAAGAACCGAAGGCATGCCATAGCAAAGTGGATACAGGCGGCTCCCAGTTGAAGGTGATTAGTAGTGCCCGTTTTACCACATATGCCAACTAAAGAAGATACAATTTTATTGAATGATCTCGACGTAAATTCATTGAAATAGTGAAGTTTGTCAGAATTATCTCGCAATTTAAGTGGTGGTATTTGGGTATTGACAAGACCGCTGAGGTCTGAATCACGAACAAGCGTGTCTAGGTATGATGCAGCGCTTCCGAGTGACACGGGGTCGATCAAATCCCCATGACAACACAAAAGCTCTTGAAGGAGCCTAGCTAATTGCTTTCGGAGGATATCAAGTTGATCGCGCGCGATTTGGTCAGTGCTTGAACATAAGCCGTTCGCGATGAAGTCAAGTTCAGAATTTAGTATGTTCATTCCTTTCACCGGCACAATTCCAAGAGAGGATAGTTTCGCGATCAATGATAGCGAGAAAGTTCCACGAAGTGCCAGCGGTTTGCTTGAGACGTTTTGGAAGCCTGCAAAACGTGATAATCTTGAGAGGAGCTCTGGAACAGAATTCCCTAGAGTTGACATATCATGAGGGTAAGACGGACGTCCTGCGAGTAGCTGCAATACATCCGAGAGGCCATAATTTATGGTCTCCGTAGCTGACTTGCTGATGTCAATGAAATCACGATATTGTGAAAGTGCTTCAAACTCTAAGGAAAAATAGGGGGGTGATACTGGGCCGGAATCCAGCACTCGAGCTTCAAGGTCATCGATTACATGCTGAAGATCCTGGAATTAGGTCAGCTTAATACTCGAAAAAACGTAGGAACCTTGGCTGCATACCTGGATCAGACCAACTCCGTCCGCGCCTTGTAGCATTGAAATCTGTGCTTGGACTAGTGAGTGACGCAATTGGCCAAGTTGCGAAAAGGGCAAATTCGTTTTCAAAGTAATAAGATCAAATCTGGCAGCAATGTGTTGCAAATCCACCATTGACTTCAAATGAGCAGGGTCGGTCGATGTCGCCGGCCTCCACTGATCCCATATCCTTTGCATGCTTTGCCCTGTTGTCAAGCCCCAGTTGATACGAAACATATCAAGTGATTCAGACAGGACCCTGACAAGATCAAGTTTAATATCCTTAAAGCGAGAACAGAGAGATTGTCCAATTTGTAAATACGTTTGAAATACCCCTTCATCAAAATTATTGGTTTGCACGACACCAAAAATATCCCAGCACAACTCCAATATAGAACTGGCTATAGCACACACATCAACGGAGCGCAAAACCTCATAATTAACCTTCTGAATGGTCTCACTCAAAGTCTGGATACAGCTAGAAAGATACAACGCGACCGGTTGGGTAGATTCCTTCATAAGGGCGGGGATCCTATCTGAAGCAACTGATCTTTCCAGTCTGCTCATTTCCGAAGGTTTTTTGTTGGAAACGGAGTCACGAACTTGACAAAAGACTTGGTGGAAATGCCAAACGTCAAATTGTATCTCTTGGAGTTTTGCTAGTTTTGCTAAGAGAACTTGCGATTCTGGATTAATGCAAGCCACAGCTCGGGGCTCGTTGATCAATGGATGCAGCGGCTGTTTGGTCTGTTAGCCAACAAAACAGCAGCAGCGGAGAAATCAATTACCAACCTCAATACCATAGCGAAAGCTTGAAAATTTATGTTCATTCCAACTTCCATCGCATAGAAAATCCTTCAAAGAAGAAAGGGTATCACGACTTAAAAAAGCATTGTAGCGATCAAACGTCTGGTACACAACTGTAGAAAGATACGTATTCGCAACCCAAATATCGATAGAAGTGGATGATTGCTGGAGCCTGCGAAAATCGTGCGGAGCCAAGTGATCAAGAAAAACTTCTAGTTCATTCTGTTCTAATTCCGAATCCAATCGTTGGTGTGAGAGACCTTGACCGCAGCGAATGCGGTAAATTGACGATTCTGAGGTATAAAAGATTCCTTGAGTCGTAGGCGTACCGCCGGTGACTCCGGGCTGCAAACATATTTCGATAGCCCGATTCCTCATTGCTCGTGACAACTCTCCATGACGAGGATCCATAGTGAGAAACAGTCGAAAATTTGGGTGTGGCTTCACCACTTTTGCAGTGCCATCTACAGTCCTTTGCTCATTGATAACTAAATACCCGTTCGGTTCCATGAGTGAATTTAGTCGATCTAAAACGGAGGGATTACAGAGGTTGGCATTGTCAAGGACCACCCAATCACCTTTCTGGACTGATTGGACAAATATACCTTCCGTCCATTCGAAGCCGATCGTCTGGTTAACAAAGGATGATTTTAGCAGTGTTTTAGAACGTTGGTAAAACTCTGTGAAGCTCGGATGTAATCCCTTGAGTGAAATTCTATGAAGTGCCTCCGAAATGGTTTCAAGATTAGATGACCCGCTCTTGACGTCTTGGTAAAGTTGCACAAGCTCACTGTCCATACCGGTCTGTTCGGTTGCGGTGTATGTAGAAACAACTTGATTTTGCAAAAGCTGGCTCAATTCATCCATGAAACTTAGCAGATGGCGGTCATTGTCTACCTGCTCAAAGCCCCCGACAAGATCCATAGTATCAGTGTCCGCGTTTAGTGCCAATTCCACAAGCTTGCAACCACTCAAAGTGGCAAGCTTCCGCAAAATGGTCGTCTTCCCACATCCTGATGTGCCCACGAGAATACTGGGCCATCCTTGCTCTATGCACAATGCCAATGATTCCATAATTGCTAGATCGCCGGTAAGTATCTTCATCTGAGGATCATTGAAATTTTGCACCAGCGGGTCGCGTTGAAGTACACTAAGGCCAACTTGGTATTGCGACACGCTCAGGTTATGGAAATAGCTTTTAACAACAGGTGTCGATTGGAAGACATCCTCGTACAATGACAAAACGAGGGATCGGTCACCATGTGTGCGAAATCTCTGGCTAATCACAACATCGAGGAACTGAGAAGGAGAAACTCGGATTGGAGTGGATTCAAGAAGTCTGAGCCATCTTGAAATATCTCGCAAATTTATTTCCCAAGGTCCTCCAGTAGTTCCCAGGAGTCGTTCGTTCGTTATTTTAATATTTAACGAAGAGACAAATTCAACTAGCTGTTGTATCTCCCTTTTAGGAGCAAGAGGAGACAACCGTTTACAGATCATCTTTAAGTCGTCATCACTAAACGAGTCTGCATATACAACTGTAAATCGATTCACGAACGATGCAGGAAGACCTTTTCTCCCACCTCCTTGGTGGTGAGGATTTTGCGCTGCAAATAAAACAAAGTCGGGGTGCCGTTTAAACGTTTGGTCCAACTCCGCCACGTAAACTTGTTGACGGTGGTCTAAACAGGAATTCAAACCTTCCAGAACAGACTGTGATGCAAGGTTCATCTCGTCCAGGAGAACCCAACCACCAGTCTGCATAGCTCGTAAAAACGGAGCATCACTCCAAGCGAAATTTCCCATGTCGCCACCTTCAACAGGCACATCTGATCCAAATAAATCCGTTAGATCAGTCTGGTCAGAAAGATTGATTCGAGTAAGCGGTTTCCCAAGACATTGTGCCAAAGCAGCAACAAGGGTGGTTTTTCCAACGCCAGGACTACCCTCAAGCAGAATAGGCTTTGTTAACTGAAGACCTCGGGCAATCCTCAGCGAGTTGGCAACTGTAGTCGGTGCTTCCAAGGAAAATGTGGGATCATGCTCGGAATGAGTGCTCATCTCCAGAACGAATGGGCCGATTCTCATATTGTTGTCTTCCATAGATATAGTAGTTGCTTGGTAATAGATAGAGACAGCGTCAAAACCAAAAATTTCACCCAATCTCTCAAGACATTTAAGTCGATCGTGTTTGAGATTTGCCGGACCTGAAACAAACATGGCAGAAGGGTTGGCACCCAGGGTATCTATATACACCAGAGCCGCCCCATGGACCACCGCAGCAGCTTGATCGAGATCTTTGCATTGGTTTACAAAACCAACCCATGCTAACAAATCACGAATGGATATTGATGTTGATGAAGTGCTCTGGAAAGTTTCTTTGAACCATCTTGCAAACGCTAACATTGCGCTTGGGGCATTTGAGATTGGCGATACGAGTTTTGAAGACAAGATGGGAAGGATATCTTCAGCTTCTGAGAGCTGAGGCACCCAAATTTCGGTAAGACGGTTCCTGAGCGCTGCAGACAGTTCTCTTTTTCCGTAGTCGCCTCCCGGGTTCATTGTTGCTAAAAACTGGAAACCATCCTTCGCAACTACCAAATTTATAGGCCCCTTTTCTGCAAGGAGCAAAGACCGGTGAGGCTCGAGAACACTATTTAGACGCTCTAAAACGGAGTCGTCTGCGAGTGAAATTTCGTCAAGAAGGAAATGCTGACCGGATTCCATTGCCGTTATAAGACTACCATTAGACCACTCGAATAACGCTTTCGCTCTTGTCATATTTTCTCGTATACGATTGAGCAAATTTGGTTCACACATATCTAGTGCCTGGGAATTTAGCTCAGAAAATACTCTTGTTAGCTTGTCAATCGAGTTATCGCTGCTTTCATCATATGCATCGATGGACTTCAAGACTGAGGACAGGTCTGCTAAAAGCTGTGCTTCGATTGTAGATCTATTTCTCAACGGCCTCTGTGCACCAACGATGTCTCCTGTCTCGAGGTTAACATGAGCGTTAATGGTAAAAAGCTGCTTTCCATATATTTCTGCAATAGCTTGACAAATTTGCGTTTTGCCACATCCAGTTTCCCCAACGAGCAGCACAGGTTCGTTGTGTTCAATTGCCTGCGAAACAAGAATAAATACCCGTCTCATCGCTTGAGTCCATATTATACTTGTTGGGGCAGTTGCTGAAAGCTGTTGAAGACGCGCATCCAAGCACCGGGAACTATAAATGGCGGTCTGATCGAGTTTTACTCGCATAACTTCCTCTATTACCTCCTTTACAGCTGCCCTCTCTTGAGGATTTCTTACCCTCTCTGCCAATAGCATAAAACCATTCACAGCCAATTGTTCGCGATCATCAGCACGCCGTTGGGCCCATCGAAAAAGATCACGGAGGGTAGCAAAGCTGTTTCGTTGCTCGAATAAGCGGCTGGATTGTCGTAGCAGTGAAAGCTTTCGATAAACAGACACTATTCTAGCACAGAATGATGGAGGAATTTGAGATCGTTCCTTGAGAATATATTCCAGTTCGTCCTCAGGAATATCATCGAAATGGAGTTCAAGGAATCGATTTCGAAATGCACGTGAAAGGACCTTTCGGCCGCCATAGAGACCAGCAGGATTTTGAGTAGCAAACAGCATAAAGTTCGGGTTTGGGCGGATGACTTCTTGGGATTCAGGTAAAAATAATTCTCTATTGTCATCAAGCAGGCGGTTGAGAGCTTCCAGGACATCAGTGGGCGCTAGGTTAAGTTCATCTAACACAATCCAGTAGCCGTTCCTTAGGGCCTCAACCAGTATTCCTTCTTGATACTTCAAGCTGCCATCTTCACCGGATACGTATGAACCCAAATATTCCTGGAGGTCAGTATGTTCATGGTTGTTGATTCGGACAAATCGGTTGCCAGAAATTTTGGCAAGGTATTCCACCATGCTAGTTTTCCCAGAGGAGGTTGGGCCTTGTAATAAAATCGGAAACAGTCTCGTAGAGCTCGCTCTCACTAAATTCATTAAATTCCTTTCAATGAAGGGAGTGATAATGTAGTGTGGTTGGGATTCTAGCGGAAATTCTCCCTGTCTCATCCAGTAATGTTTGAATTGAACATAGGTTGCACCGTCATTCGGTGGTTTGGGAGTCTGCGATAGTATAGATCGGGAATTTTTAAGGCTCCCAAATATATGTTGATCCAAAAGGGGGATTATTTGGAGCTCGGATGCCTTACTGAGCAACGTCAAAAAACTCATAGAAAACCCTTCGTACATGGCTCGTCGAAGCCCGTAGATATGCGCTTGATTTCTCACGTATATCAAGGAACGAACAAGAGTCCTGATGCTAAAATGTGGTTTCTGACCTGCTCCGTCTGTCAACTTGTTGTCTACATTGAGCTTCTTCGTGTCAAGGTAAAGGCGGGCAAGGGAGATAGTAGATTTCTCGTCCGCAATAGTCAACGACCCTAGGTAGGCACCTATCAATGTTATAAGGTCATCAATTTCGGTATCTGGTGAATTGACATATATCTCCGTAAATCTTGATCGTAAACCAGGAGCCAAATCTCTTTTCCCAGCATCAGTTGCAGGGTTCATTGCCCCAAAAATTCGGAAATTTGAATCGCCATAAATGCGTTCAACTTCCCCAGCTTCAGAAAGCAGGACAGATGGAGTGCCATCGCCTCCATAGTGAAGGAGGCTAGCAATGCTCTCTAAGGTGTCAGGAGAAGCTAAATTTATCTCGTCGAGTAAAACCCATTCACCATTCCTCAGCGCTTTGACTATCTTGCCTTGGACAAATGCGAATGCAAACTTGCTGTCGCCTTCAGAAACCCGGACCTCGAATTCCTTTAATTCTCTCGAAAAAGTAGCCCATTTTCCACGGAGGATGGTATATTTTGTGTCGTCAAGCTTTCTTTTCTTCGACGGTTGTTCCGAGACCACATCCGTCAATTCACTTTTACTTTTGTTCAAGGGTTCAAAGATACCTGATGCCATCTTGATGGCCTCCTTAAGGATATTAACTAGACGCCGCCAATTGCCAGTTGTGACGCACTTTGCAACCGAGGCTAGAAATTTCTGGTTCTTTTTAGCAGAGAAGGTTGATTCGAACAATGAATTAAACTCGTCAACTAAGGGAACAGCAATTGATCGAACATTGACCGGCTTGAAACCACCTAGCAAGTCAGTGCTTTCACTCTGTTGCGATAAATTTACTACCGTCAAACGCTGGTGCAAGAGAGATGCAAGCTGTTGGATCACTGCTGTTTTGCCAATTCCAGTTTCTCCAACCAGCAAAACGGGCTCGGAGAGCTGCAACGCTGACACAATTTGCTCCATTATCCTCAATGAAGCTCTTGTTGGTGCAAAAGTACTATGAGCTGCTGTTGAAGAGGATGACTTGCGCAGACCAAGAGGTTTTCTTTTCTGGCAGCATTCTCTGCCAATCGTGACTGAGTTGGGAGAATCCAAATACTTAGGAGTCTGTTCGGACAGGCAAAAGTTCATACGCTGGGGAGATATCTGCATCCCTTCCGCAATAACTTCCGCCACGGTTGACTGGAGTAATCCTTTAGGGAAACAGGCTGCGAAACAGTCAACAGTATCCATAAAAATTTCGTCATGAGTACCCTCTGGTACTGCCTCATAGCCAGTTTCACATCCAAGATTCCGCAACCGCCGTTCTATTCTGTAACATAACTTCACCAAGTCGCGGAGGTTTGGTAATCTGCCTGTCATGAACTTGCGAGACAGTGTGCCGTTAAATAGCGATGTGATGCGATCGAACGTAGTCAAGATTATATCTACTCGAGGGGAAAGTAGCGGAAACCTCTGAATAATAACCTCTTTGACTTCTGACAGGGGCATGGACGCCACTTGAATGTGATTCCAGAGTCTGCTTCCCAACATATTAGTTCCTGGGGTTATTTCTTTCCCAGCCGCATTGATAGTAGACCGCATGGTGGCAATAACCCTGAAGCTATCAGCGCAACGGATGCGTTCTTTTCTGCTTGGTATTATAAGTTCCCTTTTCTCAATAAGCGGGAGGATAAGGCCAATAACTTCAGAGGGCGCACGATCCAGATCTTCAATCAAAACCCACCTACCCTCCCTGGCTGCTTTGGTTAAAACGCCAGGCTGCCAAGAAAATGAGCCAGCTTGAGGCGATGTCGAGTACAAACCCAATAGACTTTTAGAATCAGTTTGCTCATTTAGGTGAAGTGTAATCATGGAAGAAGAATGGCCCATTCGGTAGGCTGCCTCGTGTACGAGTGACGTTTTCCCAGAACCGGCCAGGCCGACGAGCAGCAATGGATCCATCGAGAGAAGCGAATTACCGAAACTTCGAAGGTTGCGTCGAACCGTTGGTGTTTCCACCAGGCAGGATGCTCCCATATTGTTTTTCGGATGGATGGTGGGAAGAAGAACCCCGCCGATTTCTGCAGTGTGACTCGTGAAAGAGTTTCGAAATTCTTTGGTCCAAGTCTCCGTAACAGAATCATCGCGAGATATTCGCGCATTTTCAAGTTCTTCCTTTAATCCGGCCCATCGCTTCTCTTCCCAAATACTAAGGAGGCGGTAATCGATGGTTCGGTCTTCCCATGAGCCATTGATCGCTGTCTCATCATGATACTTGCTTATCATTTGTTCCAAGGAAGCATCTGCAGCACGCATATACAAGCAAAAACATCGGATTGCAAGGTATCTAATGATAGGGTTGTGATGACTGAGCAGTGACTGCAGTTGGGACACGGGCGTCATAGGTGAGAAACTGTCCAAGTCGAAGCTAAGAAGACGAAAGAGAGCAACGAGAAACGCATGCAGAGTTTGATCTTCCATTTGTAAGAGTTCAACTTGGTTTGACTCTGACGAGGATGGTAGGGCACTGCTCTTAAGGCGTTGGGAGACGGCATTGACAAATGGTCGAAGATATGGCGCAAAGGGTAAAATGCGTGCAAATGCAGTGGTAACTTGAACAGAGTATTCATGGGAGTCCAAGCAAATCCACCTGGCAGCTAAATCCACAAATATTGGCTCATATAATGTGAATAGTTTGTTGGTATAATTCGGCTGTAATGCAGCAATTGACAGGGTATCAAGAAATGTTTCTGGAATTGAACTTCCTGTGCGCAGAATTTCTACCAGCTCGGGCGGTAGCTGCTTTAAAATCTGGGGATGTGGTAAAAGTACCCCATCGCTAGAAAATTGTGCCATCTTGCAAGCCGCCCTACAAAGCCCTTTTCCTCCACCAGGGGCGGTATTTCAAAATCACAAATTTCTCAGTCGAGAAATTTTCTTTTTTTTTTTCCGAATTACTATAAGTTTCTGCCGCAGGATCGTCATGTCACGTGGAATTCCTTCGCCTCGCCGCCTTCAGGAAAGCCAATCAGCTCATTCCTCATTTGGCGCCAGATTCACCAGCCACATCTACCAGCCACATCTTGACCTCGGGACAAAGTGTTTGAACTTATGTCCTGGACAATTATTTATCTCGTCTCCCAAACAGTACGATTCTCGGCTTCGTCCTATGTACTGCGCCGGCGCCTCCATGACGGACAATGACGGGAAATGCTTCAGGCCTGAATGCCGCACACATTCCTGTGAATCATGATAGTTCTCAGGCCTCCCGCAGCTGCGGCGATCCGACCAGTGAACAAGTCGACTTGGCTTCGACTCATTCAGGGGACGAAACGGTTCTTGCAACAGACCCTTTAGGGGATGCATTTGACGAGCCGTAAGTTCGTGTGCTGTCCGCTGTTGAGCCTTTCGTTACTGACTATTTGACAGGATTTCATTCAAGCGCAAGCAAAAAGGTCCCGCCCGATTCGCTCTCTCGAACTTCTTCTCCTCCACCGAAGGAACCTCTCATCCCCCTTTACACAATCCTTTTAGAAACAATAACGGCGCATCCACAAATCGCACTCCACCACCCGCGGCGGCGACGACTGGCAATGGAGGACTAGAGGGGAATAAAGCTGGCGGGCCACTTGACTGGTACGTCGAGGGCCCCGGCCGACGAGTGGGCTACGACAACTTAACGGCTATCGATTGGATCTTCGAGTATACAAAGGAGCGCCAGCGGATCAGGCATCTTTATGCCAGCAACAAAGGTCTCTTTGGCTACGTTCGCAAAGTTCTAGATGCCAGCCATATCTGGATTATCTTGATATTAACGGGGATAGCTGTTGGTGTAATAGCAGCTTGCATAGACGTCGCAAGCAGTTGGCTTGGAGATATCAAAACTGGCTACTGCCGCACTGGTGGCGAAGGAGGGAAGTTCTATTTGAATAAGAGCTTTTGCTGCTGGGGCTATGATGGTTCGTTCTCGAGCCTACCACCTGACTCGTATTGTATGGCTAACCTTCCTTCAAGATTTATCCGAGTGTCAGCATTGGACACCGTGGCGTAATGCTCTACATGTTGGATCTAAAACTGCCGGGTATGCGGTGGAATATGTATTCTTCATCATGTATTCTGTAAGCACTTTCATGACCCTTGATTTTGGTTTTCCTAACCAGGATGCTAGATTCTTTTCGCAACAACCGCAAGTGTGCTCGTTAGAAAGTTTGCGGTACACGCCAAGCATAGTGGGATCCCGGAGATAAAAACTGTCCTCGGCGGTTTCGTAATCAAGCGGTTTATGGGCGCTTGGACGCTACTGATCAAATCTCTCGGTCTTGTAGGTATCTCTGGTTTCATTCACAAGTTTATTGTCATTTCTTACAAATATCTAGTGTCTTTCTGCCGCGTCGGGACTATGGCTCGGAAAAGAAGGCCCGTTAGTCCATGTGGCTTGCTGCTGCGCAAGTTTAATTATGAGGCCCTTCCCCAGTCTAAACCGTAATGAGGGTAAGTCATATATATATATCCATGGGAGGAACCCGGGAAAACTAATATGCAATAACAGCAAGAAAGCGTGAGGTTCTCTCGGCAGCCTCTGCGGCTGGCATTTCTGTTGCATTCGGATCTCCGATTGGAGGTGTATTGTTCAGCTTAGAGGTGCTCCACCACTCAAAATCGTTAGTGTTTTACTGTGCTAATTTCGTTGGCCGTTTCCCAGCAATTATCATACTATTTCCCAGATAAAACCATGTGGCAAAGCTTCGTATGCGCCATGGTTGCAGCAGTGACATTGCACGCGCTCAACCCCTTCCGAACCGGCAAAATTGTTCTCTACCAAGTTACATACAGTCGTGGGTGGCATCAATTTGAACTGCTTCCGTTTGCTGTGCTCGGCATAATTGGTGGATTGTATGGCGGTCTGTTCATTAAACTCAACATGAGAGTCGCCAAATGGCGAGAAGCGAGGAACTACTCACACCCGATCTTACAAGTGGCCCTTGTTGCACTCATCAGCGCCCTTATTAACTTCCCAAATACATTCATGCGGGCTCAATTATCTGACCTTGTATACTACCTCTTTGCGGAGTGCGCGGAAGTTACAGATGATCAGTTCGGGCTTTGCAAAACGGGATCTGCATCTTTGGGCGTTATTGGTCTTCTGCTCCTTGCTGCAATTCTCGGCTTTTTCCTTGCCTCAATCACATTCGGCCTAGATCTCCCGGCGGGCATCATCCTCCCGTCGTTGGCGATGGGGGCACTCTCCGGTAGAGCTCTTGGCATTGCATTTGAAATGTGGCAGAAGGCTCAACCAGATTTACTGCTCTTCCGTAAATGCGAGGCCGACATTCCATGCATTACTCCCGGCACGTATGCTATAGTCGGTGCTGCTTCTGCACTCGGAGGGGCAACTAGAATGACGGTGTCGATAGTGGTCATCATGTTTGAACTTACCGGTGCTCTCACTTACGTCATCCCCATTATGATTTCTGTGATGCTCTCCAAGTGGTGTGGAGATACTTTTGGGAAACGTGGTATTTACGAATCATGGATCCACCTTCATGGGTATCCCTTCATTGAGCAAAAGGATGAGGTTGTCCTACCCGATGTCCCAGTGAGCCAAGTCATGACCAGTATTCATGACCTTTCAGTTATCACTGCTGTCGGCCACACAATCGATTCCCTCCTGCATCTCCTCGACACAACCAGCTATCGAGGTTTCCCCGTCGTCTCCGATACATCTAACCCTATCTTACTGGGCTACATATCCCGTAACGAACTTAGCTTCGCCCTTAAATCGGCTACCTCTCGAAGCTCCCGAGGCGTATCTCCGGAAACCCCTGCATATTTCGCTCATCAGCCCTTTGCCGATCCACTAGAGATCCTGGATCTTCGCCCTTGGATGGATCAGACGCCCATCACACTCAACAGCCGCGCCAGCTTCCTAGTCGTCTTGACTATGTTCCAACGATTGGGCCTTCGGTACGTACTATTTGTGAACAAGGGTGCTCTCCAAGGGTTCCTGACAAAAAAGGACGTCTGGTATATTATTGAAGATGCGCAGAAACGGAGGGCGGAGGGCTTAAGAGACAATGAAATTGGAGAAGGAAACACCGAGGATGAGGGAGGGTTTCGACGAAATGATGATAACGACCACCACAATATAAGCACGTTCAGTCCGCTTGATGCTAGACATTCGTTATAATGGTTTGTTTTGATACGGAAGTTTTGGGCTTTTGAAAGGTCTCTTCAGGACTCTTGACTTTTTCTTTGGTTTTCTTGTATAATACCGTCCACATCCGGTGTTTTTTTGGTGTAAGGAGTAATCGTGTTTCTTGTGAAGCTGTGTAATGATTTAGACCGTCCCATAGATAGCTTGAAACAGGAATGCAATCTGTTCAATCAAACCCTTAACACCATTTAAAGCAAAACTGCCCTGTCCTTGATTCTTTTTTTCATCCCCTATAACCTATTGTTTTTCCACCGTCTAATGCAATAAGAAACAAAAAATCCTACAGAAATAACCGCAACCCATCAAGAATATACAATACCATAGCCCAATCGGTTAAAAGCGAGTCCCATTAACGCCCTGGATACCCTGTCCCAACTGACCCGCGACAACCGTCGCTTCTCTAACTGACCGTGCAAGCGTACCCCTAACTCTTCCCTCTTCAAGGACCAGCAAGCCACCAATCGTGCAGCCGCCAGGAGTGCTGACTTTCTCCCTAATCAACGCTGGATGCTCGCCATTCTGAACCATACCAGCCGTCCCACGCATGACCTGGGCAGCCATCATTTGCGCCTCTGCCCTCGGCAGCCCCATCGCAACAGCTCCATCGGCCATCGCCTCCATGACCAAGGCTACAAACGCAGGGCCCGAACCAGCGAGCGAGGTGCACACATCCATCATCGATGGGGGAAGAGTGACTACCCGTCCTACGCGGGAAAATATCCAAGATATCAACATATTCCACTCCTCGGGGAGGGGTGGAGTGGAAGTACCGATAACTGTCATGGATTCACGGACGATGGCAGCGGTATTGGGCATGACGCGAACGACGCGGCAGCGTTTTGATTCTGGAACTGTCGAGGTCGGCGGATATAATGTGTCCTGGATCTGGTCTACGGTCACACCGGCAAGGATGCTGATGAGAAGTTTCCCCTGCAGCGCGCCTGTCATGCCAGGCACGTCAAGAACATCACGCAGCATGTATGGCTTGCAGCCGAGGATGACCACCTCGGCTTCGTTAACTGCCTTGATATTTTCGTTTTGCAACACAGTCAATGGCACCGCGAAGCCGTCAAGGGCTTTGTGGACACGCCTTACGGACTCCGGCCGACGTACGCAGGCAATGAACTTATTTGGGATCTTCTGCTGTGAGACAAATTCTGATGGCGTGGTGGTTCCGGACTCCGACGGGTATGCGGAGTGGCTTTTTGTTTCTGACAGGGAGGCAAATATGCCTGATAAGATGGCTATACCCAGAGTACCTGGAGCAATCAACGGGACTTTGTTAGAAATATTGGGGCTTTTTGAATAATTGTGCAGGACTGGCCTCACCGCATCCAAGGACCGCAAGTGTCACGTCTGGCTTCTTCTGAGCCATGTTGATGGCTTCCATGGTGACATTCCTCTGAGCAATAGACATGACCGGAATGCGATAGTTTAATTATACCGCAGAAGATATTTTAACAGCGACACAAATAACCCCTGGGAGGTGATGTTGCAACATTGTGCGGGGAATCGAAGGCGGGACCCTCAGCGAGTTATTTAGAGTTTGGTGGAGCTGAAGCTTTTTTGCCGCCTCATGAGCGGCTCAAATATTTCGATCTTCGACGTTGACTTACACCGCCTTGGCGATGAACATACCAATCATCTCCCAAGAACAACATCTATTCGACCGGACCATGGCCGTTTAATCTGGGGATACATTATGAGACGCCTATTGCTCCTCGATAATCGTTATCATCGCCCGTATCCAAGATGGCTGATCCCTTCGAGGTGCGCATGCGCTTCACGACACAGCTCCAGCATCTGAGCGCCTCTGTCACCTCCTCGCAGAAAGCCGCTCATTATGCACTCAAATACCGGGATATGGATGAGGACCTTCACTCCTGCATTCTCGAACAGCTAGAAATGGTAATTACACTTTACACCCTATTACGGCAAAATAAACCGAAAATTTAAATCATAAAATAAGTCTTCTGACATCAGTTTCTTGACTGTTGTTATAGAATAGTATGAACAACCGTGCCAATATCATGTACTTCATCGAACACCTCTGCGATATGGCCACCAAGGAAAACCACCTCGAATTCGTCCGCATGATGCAGCGCGATATCCTCCGTGTTGTCGACGCGGTTGCCCCGCCAGATGGCTCCGGTGCCGCAAATGTCAAACATGTTCGCCGCGTGCTAAATGGATTGCAGGCAAAATCGTTCCTCTCCGCAGATACTGTCCGTGAAATCGATGCATTTCTCAAAGAGAGAGAAAGTCACCCAGCGCATCTTCTTGACCTTGAGTTTGTGGAGCCCGGCCAGACGACCATTGAAGGCGGCGATTCGGTCAAGGCCCCAGGCCCCACGACTAGGCCGAGCGGCATTAAGGTGGATAAACGGCAGATTGAACAGCGGATCGAGGAGGATAGGGAGCGGAATAAGCGGCTACGGGAGTCAATGTGGGCTGTGCCGGGGAATGATGCGGATGAGTTTGACAAGATGTGGGATGAAGTTAGTGATCTTGGAGAAGATGATTATTTAGCAGCTGAGGAGGAAGCGATGGAGAGGAAACGAATTGCGGAGGAGTATTACGATGCTTGATTACACTTTTTTTTTTAAAAAAAAAGGGTTTATTTACTAGGCTTTAAATGTGGTACGGCGTTCCGGTCAGCACTGTGCGGGTTACTGTTTTCATATATATCATTATCGAATTGTATGATTGGAAGGCGCAATAGAGGTCACCTCATTTGTGATTCACATGTCCCACCAAAACTCGCCTAGCTATTAACCAGGTGCCTTCTGCTTATTATATGGAGATTGGCCCCGAATACAATAATACAATTTGACTTCCACAGGTTTTAAAAAGCCCCGTCACATTCATCAGAGCTCGGCTTGATAAGAGATTAGGGTTAATCTACTACAAATTTCTCGGAACAACATAACTCCGGACTACAAATTTCTGATCCCATCTCGAAGCTTGACCCTCGAATCAGCAATAAAAGTACGGATTATCTCGAGGCTTGGTTTTTCAACCTTGTTCATTTGTTACCTTATGTTCTCTCATATCGTCACAGCTGCCCGAGGCATATTTGTGAGACCGGACCCTGGGGTCGAACAAAACATTCCCACCCCAGACCAAATAGCCAATCCCACTCCCACAAACTCGTCACCTAAGATGGTGTCCGCTACTAGACGGACTGTGTACCCAACCGCGGAGGAGGAGCCGGTGAACTCATCACCCGCTACAAATGGGAAGCGAAAGGCTGCTGCCTCGGAAGATGAGACGGAAAGCCAATCGCCCAAACGAAGAAAGCAGAAAAATTCCAGTTCCACTACCACCAGCTCCCCGGCTCCTCAACCTGTTGACGAAGAAAACGCCATTGTAAAAAGCCTACCCTTCCGTACCGCCGATTCAAGCGACATTGCCGAGCACGAAATACAACCCGAAGAGGAAAATTTACATGTTTCAACCAGTACATCCACGGAGCCTGATCGGGTTCAGGTAAATTCCACCGCCAAGGCGACACATGTTCGTTTTGGAAACGAGGAACCGGCTCCGGTTCTCATTGGGAAGAATGAGCAAGCTTCGGATGAAGAGAATCCCAAAGAGTCTAATGATGTGGAAGACAGTGAGGATGATGAGGCACCCGAAACAATAGACAACGCTACGCAACTACAGGAATTAAAGGAAAATGCCCGAAAAGAAACGAAGGCTAAGCAAAGGTTCGTATTGAAGGTCCCATTCCGGTATACCCAAAGTGTAAGGTTTCACATCTAACATCAACCCAAGGACCGAAGAGCTGAATAAAGCAAAACGAAGAGAGCGGGATCAACGACTGAAAGCCCAAGCAGTCTCAAAACAAGCCCCGGTAATAATTGAACACGCCTTTTCCATTCCACAAGATCACCGCGCAGGGGAAAATGAACTTCTCTCCGAAAGCTCCGCGACATTCCAGGGATCTCTTTCCAAACCCATCAGATCGCTTCCCAAGCTGCTCCCGGATGAGATCTTGAACGCAGAACCTACATCAAACGATAGTAGAATCACCCGCATATCTGAGATAGTGTTGTCGTCCATGCCAAAATCAAAGAAACATAAGTTTCTAGATAATATTGAGAAGGAGCCGAAGGATATTAGGATTGGTGGGACATCGATTCGTGTCCTGGAGAGCACGGAAATCAGTGATTCGAGTAGGATCAGCCTACCGCCCAAGTCATCCAAGAGGAGTCGTCAGGTGCGTGAGAATTTGTTGGCCGGAACCCGTCACTTGCCAGGCGGTGGTAGTTTAAGGAGAACGATTGGTGGGACTTCAGGTTTCATTCGAAAGTGATGTTGCTTTGTTTCGTGAAGTCAAGTGTACATCACGTAGCGTAAAGAGAACAACAGCCATTTATACTACAGATACTCATATTATTTTCTAGCGTGATGGTTTCAATTGACCAAACTAAAATGCATTGATGCTCAGATGGGCAATTATCTAGTCATTAGTGCCTTTGCACCTGTGCCTCTGCAGCCGTGGACTCGATAGTCCGTATCCTGTATTCTCTCTCTAGTATCCTATTCCATAGTGAGTAGTCAATTTAAGGTTATATCACATGATGAGCCAAAGCTTTCAAGAATCCGTTGCAGAGCTTTGACGTTGCTTATTGGTTCTAGTGGAGGAGCCGCGGTTTTTGGCTACGTCAGACGAACAACGCTACATTGGTATACCAGCTATCGTATGATCGCAATTGACACCGATATACAGCTCCCGTTTAGTCATGGCGTCGGTAAATATGGAAACCTCACCTCTGCTTGATCGCCAGGGTTCGCCATCGATGCCTCAGGAAGAGCGCCCATTTAGAACGGTTACCTTCGATCCTATCGCCGAAAACAAGAGGAGGATATCAAATGATATGGCAACCTCGAGGGACATCTCAAAAGCTCCCCGCAACCCATCAATGCAAACTGCTTCTGGTAGTGGAGGCTCTCCCAACTTAGCAGCTTTGAATAGCAAGTTCCTTCGTCGACATAGCCCCAGGGCACCCTACAACCAGGTAGCCTCGGCTTCCGCTCCAAGCCATCCGAAAATTGGCCCTCAGCGAACATCCAAAAACACCCAGAAGCTTAAGTTGCTTCCCAATCCCGTTACGGGTGAAGAGGCCCAATTTTCGGAAGAAGAAATCCCGAGAGAAGTGTATTCGCAGATCGCCCGGATTAAAGAGCCAACTGCTAGAAAGCACGCCGCAAGGCTGGGTAAAGCAGATCGGGACCACGTTCCGCGTGTGACAGCATACTGCACTGCGAGTTCATATTCAATAGACGGTGTTGTGAGGTTTCTTAAATCCCGTGCTGATACTAGAGGCTCTAATCCGAAGTTGTTCGATGAATGCGTATATTCGCCTTATAACTATGACTATGTGCAGAAGATCCGGCAGTCCAATTCGCTTAAGGAAGATGACAGGGAAATATCAGCAGTTTCAGAAATTTCTAGTCAAGGACATGAGGGGCAGCGTGTTTCATCTGAGATCGAGGACGAAGACCAAAGGATTCAACGGCAGGAGGGCCTTATCGACCTGGGAGAGAATCACCATGGTCCGCAAGCAGACTCCTCCACTGCAATACCTGCCACCAACACGCTAGACACTATATCCACCACGGACGATGCGAACGGGCCTGATTTCGACACCACAATCTACACACCAGAAATATTTCTTTTCGACTACGGCACCGTAGTAATATGGGGCATGACACCTGCCCAAGAAACCCGCTTCCTCCGCGAAGTATCTAGGTTCGCCACTGCCGTCCTCAGCACTGAAGACACGCAGATCGAAAACTTCAACTTCTACTACACCCGTGACTACCAAGCGCGCATCTACAACGACTTCATCTCCCTACAAGACCCGCACAATTACATGACCAAACTCGCCATCTCCCACGCGCTCTCTCAGTCTGTCAAGACGTCATTGTTTGAAGACCTCGTTTCGGAAACCATCGCGAAGACCTCACCCCTGCCAGCGCAGATTGCGGAGACAGGTAGTGTGAACCTGCCGCGTAGACAGATTAATATGCAGATTGGAGAATTGTTTATCCTTCGCATTAATATACATTTGCAGGGATCTGTGTTGGATAGTCCTGAGCTCATGTGGGCGGAACCGCAGTTAGAGCCTGTGTATCAAGCTGTGCGTAGCTACCTGGAGATGGACCAGCGGGTGGGATTGTTGACGGAGAGGTTGGACGTGATTGCGGATTTGCTTGCCGTCTTGAAAGACCAGCTGAGTCATCGGCACGGAGAGTACCTGGAATGGATTGGTATGTGCAAAGTCGTCTTTCCCCGTCTCCATTGGTTTTACCTGAGAAATATCTTTCATCCCCTCCTTTTTTTCCGCTTCTACCATCCAAGACTGGAAACCTCCTGACAATATACATAATCTAGTAATCATCCTCATCGCCGCTGAAATCGTCGTTGCGGGCATAAACATCGTTGTCGACCTGTACGCTGGAGTCGACTAGAAAAGCTACTCAGCGAAGAGCAGGAGTTAAATCATACCGTACCTGTTAAGGACTAACGATCTTCATACATACTTCATCTGTCTCAGCCCTCCTCCATGTCCCATGTTCTATACATTTACTTTTCCGCGAATACAGATAAATGTCCTGTATCATAAAATACTTTCTCCACCCTGCAGATCTGTATTACATACACTGTACATACATATGTTCTTCATGTCGTTATTACATATTTATCCAGCTGTTACAGAGAGTTCTGTAGGGTGGTTCTGGCTCCGATTCTCATTCGGATTTCAATTCCTATTTCTTTACTTCTCTCTGCCTTTTTATTGTCTCCAGTAGACACTCTATTTTCCACTATATTAACCCCAATTCATATTTTTCGATAACCAGCTCGACCCAAAAGGTTGAGTATCGGGAAAATAAAAGGGGGAGATTGTTGTATATTATTATTCTTATTATGTATTTTATTAATTTTCTTCGTGTTACCTTGCATTTTAACTTTCCAGTGGCTTTCTTCTCTTGTCTCTTCGGTCCTTACGTATCGTATCGTCCATAACTTCCCTCCACACATAATTTGAACGAACAAAAGGAAGAACTATGAATACATTCTAGGATATAGAAAGGAGTTTACCGTTTTTTTTTTTTTTAAAGCTACAAAAGCTTTATCCGTTTCATTTTATATCATTTCATCCCATCCCACTTCATTCAATATATCCCATTCTAAAAAAAAAATAAAAATAAAAATAAAAAAAATAAGACAAGACAAACGAAACGAGCATTCATAAAAGCGAGAAGCCAGAAATGAAGAAAACAAAAAACAGCAGCAACAGCAACCCCGCGAGCTGAAGAAATCCCCACTGATATCGCATAATATGCCAGAAGCATGTCGCGTACATATAACTAAATAAAGAAGGAAATGAACTACCGAAATCAGGAAAGTCGGTGGCTGTGAGGGAGGTTAGAAAATATAGGTATAATACCAGACGGACATAACGTTGATTTGGGAGGGGAAAAAGCAAGACAACGGAGTTGGCAGTGAAAAACAAAGGTACGCAAATACGCAAGGTTAGGAAGAACTGGATATTCCGTCAGAGAGCTAGGAAAAACGGAAATATGGAAAAAAAAAAAAAAAAAAAAAAAAAACAAGGAGGATTTTTAAGGCAGAGAGGAGAAGCAAAGTAGAAGGCACAAACATCAAGTGTGTCCAAGAGAGAAAAGGGACAAAAGACAAAAAAAGGATGTATGAAATGGAGGTTGTAAGGTACAGAGGTCGAGTCCTCGGCCAAAAGCTTCTTCCTGGTAAGAGTACAGTAGTTTGGGGCTAATGATTAAGATGTTAGGCAAGGAGGAAACTGGATGCTTATATAAATCGGGAGCAAAATTGCTGCTAATATGGTATGGGGGGGTTAAGAAAACATGGAAAATGACCAGCAACGAATGTGGCATGGGAAAATAAATATAACCCAGCTACGGACGAAAACTGCTGGAAGATTGACAACGAAACAGAGAAAGGGAAGCGAGAGAGTGGAGGTGCTCGACCGTCGGGCGATATATTTATTACAAGATACTTTATGCGAGTGGAAGAGGTAAAGAACAAAGGTCCATCAGAACACATCGACGAGAATAAAACCCTGGCTGGGCTCCTCCCCATTTTTCTTCCCCTTTCCTCGTTGGTTATGGATAATATTACAAGCCATCTCTGCTCTCGCGCCGGTCCCCGTACTGCCTCTTCGTTGCTGGGTCTAACGACTCCCAATGCTCCGCAAGTGCACGATCGACATCGTCTGGCGTGATATTCGTCTCAGGACCGTACGCGTCAACAAGGTCATGAATAACCTTGTCCCGCGTGCGATTGGTGAAGTCCTCAAAGGCAGATATATACCGCTGATTGGAGTGTTGAGGTTCGGATGTTCCTGTCGGCGTGGAACCTTGGCCTTGACCAAAATTGGTCCCGCTACCGCTAGGGCGTCGGTGGTGGCTGTTGTTGTGATTGGAGGGGGATGAGGCGAGAGGCGGTTGGCGGGGATAATGATGATCTATCGCTGAAGAGGAGGACATAGGAGCGGGTGGTGGGTTGTAGTGTTTTATGCGGCTGTCGAGTTCGTGGGTGGGAGGTGGGGAACGGCGTCGAGTGGCTGGAAGGAGAGGTGGGAGAGTGGACGACGTGCTCAGGTTCATGAGGTCAACATCTTTATCAGGGTTGTCAAGGTGGGTGGTGGAGTCGTCGGTGCGGCGACTACGTTTCACTCGAAGAGGGCGTTCCTGGGGCTGAATAGAGAGATACTGCTGTCAGCAAATGAAAGCCCGAGATTAAACACAAAACACGCAATGCAACGAACGAGCCAGAGCGGGAGCTTCGGAGGTAGCATACAGTTGGCGGATGCCCCTCGGAGCTCCCTTCAGTGCCGTCATCCATGTAATCAATTCCGTAAAACGCACGCTTGACACCAGCAGAGGAGGGACCTTCCCCCGCCCTTCCCGCTCCTCCATGTGCCGCGGACGTGTAATGAGGATCCATCTCCTTCAACAGCGCCACGCTGCGCGCGCGTAGCTCTGTACTAATCCCCTGTTCCTCAGCCATGCCCGTCAAGACAGCCAGGCGCTCGAGAAGCATACAGGACTCGAGGCGCATTTTCTGAATGTAACGGTGACCCTGTGCGTTGCGGATGCGCATTGCATCGTTGGCCGCTTCGACTTCGTTCAGACGTTTTTTCAGCTCAATGCATTTGTGCTTGTAGGCTGCTTCTATGCTAGGGGGGTTTGGCGGGGCGGGAGCATTATTATGGGTGTGGTTGTTGTGGTGGTGGGCAGAGCCCTTCGAAGGGCCTTCCTGGCTATCCATCATTCGTCTTCCTGTTTACGGGTGTCTGGATGGGATGTTGCGCCTGGGATGCTCTGTTTGCTGTGCTCTGTGCCAGGAATTGGCACGGGTTGGTGGTTCTGCGGCAGCACAAGCCCGATCTGTGAGTAAGTTGGAGTAGTGAAGGATATGTGCGGCGACGGGCGAGGTACGCCAAGAATTGGCAAAACAAGACAACTTGGATGCGTAGGAGGGTTGTGATACCAAGTTAATTGGAGTCGGGAGCTTGGAAGCCTCGATGCCGTTTTCTGCCGCCTCAAGGATACTAACCTGGTTAGCGGGCGGATCGTATCAACATTGTTCCTAGAGCGGTGAGAGCGATGTGGCTGGTGAGCGATTACGTAATCAGTGGCTGCATATCGCCTTCTAGAGTCGTCATTAGATCCCGAAAGGAGGCACAATTGAAAGGAAAAGAACGAAGCTGTTCAGTCAGCAGTGTGAAATACGGTAGGGAGTTGCTTTTTCGAGTTCCCGTACTGTTCTCGTGCTCTCTAATTTCCAAGCCAGGCAGTTTCTTGGGCTAGCAGGTTACATCATCGTAACTCAGGCCTTCTCCGTCAATATTCCATGGCCATGGGATATATCCAAGGCATTTCCCCCTATAGCAGGACCGGATCGCCACCATGGTAGCCGAAACATCGTTAAGGTTGGAAGCGTTGCGAGTTATCGGCCTCACTTTGAACAAGTTTTGAATCGAGCCATTTAGCCTGCCTACCAAACTGGCCAAATACTCAGATACAGTTGTACTATCTATGTCTTACACTAACGGTGATTAGCCCCTGCATAAGTGCCACCTTAATTACAGTACATAGGAATAATCCTCTCAACGCCCAGATGACAGGCGGGGGAGAATATCAGCTCCCAGCCCAGCGGCACCGGGCTGATCCCTGCCCCTAACAGCATTACCTGGCCCCAAGGGCGCAATTGACATTGATAAAATGGTGGGATATATCCATCTCGAGCGTGAGTACTGAAGGTGGAAGGGGATACAAATGTATGGCTAGCAAGATGCTGCCGAGAAAAATCTCTCATATTATTTTATATTCATCCCATACTTCCATTCTTCCATTCTTATGTATTTCGCTTTTATTTATTTCTAGAACTATCAACGAGTGAATTCATTCCTTTCATTCCTTGCTTTCTCCTCTCCTCTCTTCACCTATTTATTTGTTTATTTGGTATTTGTATTTTTGTGCTCATATTGTTGGCGTTTTAGTTAGTCTGCTTCTACGTGGTAGGCATTCAACTACTTAAAACACACCAGAAATAGCTCGACCGTTAGATATGATATATTGGCCTCATCAAATAAAGAGAAATTTGCCGCCGTCCTGTGTTTTCCGTTCTTCCTTTCCCCATTTCCCTTTCGCCCTCCTGCTCCGTCCCCATCTATATATTCTTCCACCTAAGACAGAAAAAAGTCACGGAGCATATCTATATCTAGAGAAAGAAACAACAACACCACGACCGCAACCGCCACCCCGTCCCCTGTTTTTCTGTCAACACGTTCCTTGTGTCTCCATTACTCCTAGAGAAAGAACAATATACATATAAATAAATATATATATATATGAAGTTATCACACGAGATTCCCGACCAAACTAGTGTCAAATGCCATCGCCGATTCGCCAATTTGCTATTACACCATTGTTAAAATTAGAGGTTATGAGAGCCACGGGCCAGTCAGTGGTCATTCGCATCCCTGCCGCCGCTGCTGTTGCTATTGCTGATATCGATGAAAACATCTTGCATATCCAAATCCTGGGTAGTGTTCTGCAATGCGGTAGATGCGGAGGTCAACGGGACTGGGTCTGCGGCTGCGGCCGGAGGCGGGGAGAGTACAGCTACGGACGACGATGATGACAGCGAGGATGATGATGATTCCACTTCGGTGACGGCGGAAGACGAGGCGGGGTTATTAATATTATCATCCGGGTGATGATGGTGATGGTAGGGATTATCGAATTCATGGTGACTGGTGCTATTGTTATTGCTGAAGCCTAGATCTACGGTGCTGGACTGGCTATCGGAGTCTGAACCAGGATCGTCGAAGGCATCATCGGGCGGTGCGAAAGACCAGACCTAAAGTTGGAATTAGTATTTTGGAAAACTTGGGGGAAAAAGACAAGAGAAATTTGAGAGGGAGTATGTCTTTGGAATTATGCAGCTTACCTCCATAACAGTCCGGCCCGCCCTTGTCGCCATAACCACCGCCTTTTCATCCTCAAACGCAACCCTCCACACAGCCTCCGCCGGCTGACTCAGCTCTCTCACCAACTGGCCCGTCCTCAAATTCCAAATCTTAACCCGCCCATCACTACCACCGCTCACAATCCGATTATCATCAAACTGCAGACTCGTAATACTATTATCGTGTGCCGCCAGCCGGTGGATCGCCGCCATCCGCAGCAGTGACCAGACACGGACAGATCCGTCCGAACCACCAGTGACAAGCGTGTCGCCGCGCATTTGCAGCTGGCCGACGAGAGAGGTGTGTCCTTGCAATATGGCATGGCACTGGCCAGTCTGCAGGTCCCAGATGCGCACACTCGTGTCCAAGCTACCCGTCGCGATCCGCTTACCGTCAAAAGCGATCGCATAGATTTGGCTGAAGTGGCCAGCTAACGTTCTCAGGCACCGCCCTTCGGAGATGTTCCAAATCTTCGCAGTTGTGTCGTAGCTACCCGAGACGACGAGGTCACCGTGGATCCCTAGGCAGCGGACACTGGCTTGATGGCCGACGAGTACGTGTTTGCACACACCCTTCGCGAGGTCCCATATCCGCAAGGTCGTATCGCGAGATCCTGAGATAGCGGTAGTTGCGTTTGACATTTTTAGACAGCGCACGGTGGAGGTGTGGCCTCGCAGCTTGTGGATGCTCTCACTGAATACCTCGGCGGTTAGCGGCAAAGTCGTATTGTATTGAATGAGAGACGCGACAAAACATACCCAGTAGCCATATTCCACACACGCACGTCACGGTCACATCCACCACTGACAAGAATATCATCCCACGGTACCATGGCCCAAACGCCCATGACATGGCCTTGTAATGTCCTCTGATGCTCACCCTCTGTATTGAAAATGTGAATCTTGGCATTATCCAGCGCGACGGCGATGAACTTGGACGTTAAATGCAGGCTTGTAACAACACCATGATCTGGCGTGATGTGTTTGGTGATTAAATGTCCCCCCTTCCGCCAGGCCGCTTCAACCATGTATCTCTGCTTGAAATGTGATCTGTAGGTTTTGGTCTTCACTCGTCGTTTCCGTGAGTGGTTTCCTAACGACGAGGGTGCTCTGGATGTCGTAGGCGTAGTAACTGCGCTATTATTACTTGCCGAAGGGTCGTCGCTGTTGTTCAACTGCTGCTGCGCGAAACGGGGATCGTAGGGGTTTGGAGGAAGGGCGAAGGAGAAGGGCTCTGAATCCTCGTGGGTGTCTTCGGACATGGTTCTATAAGCATGATTATCACACAGGAGCTTCCAGGTCATATCATCATTTAGAAGCTCGTGCCATCGTGTTGAGACTTGCGATGCTCGAGCAAGTGTTTTGGGATCATCGATGAATGAAAGGATCTTACAATTCTCATTAGCACAAAATTTCCGCAGGGCGGCTAAAAAGGAAGAAAAAATGGGCACAATAAAAATCAATATTTACCCGCAAACATAGCTCATTCGGAAGCACTTTAAACGGATCCTTCTTCAGCCGCGGGCTGACAAAATGATAGACAAAACTGAGTTGCTGATTATCACATAGATTCAGAATCTCCGCCAGAAACCTTTGTCCCTCCGCACGCCCTAGCAAGCTGAAATGCTGTCTCGCATCCCGCAGAAAGGTGTCCTCGTCTTCGCCAGCGCTCTGCCAGCTAGGGGCTCGTTGGTGTGGTGTCGGACTCGGGGCGGGAGTTGGAGGGGAAGTGGGAGCAGAGGGGTGGAGGTTGTGAAATGGGGGGATGGATTTGTTTGGCGTGCGCAACAGTTTGGAACGGGAGTGTGCAGAGGCGGACAAGCTATTTGTCGACCTTCTGCGAGAGCGTCCAGCTGGCAGCGAAGCAGCAGAGTTATCATCGCTCTCCTCGTCCGGGTCTGCCATTGTTACTCGGCGCGAGGATGAGGTATATGGGAAATATCTCTGCTCCATGGACCCCGGAAAGAAATGGTATTTTGGGAGTGAATAATGTGCAGCTTCTTGGGGTTCTCTAATGTGCTTTAGCGAGAAATTGTCGTCAGGCACGTAGGCTCTCCGCTCCGAGACCTGAGATTTTCGAGATCCCTCATGTATCGACAATAACGGTGGTCGGTCGGGGGAGGAAGGTTGTCTCGTCTCGTGCCAAACCAGCGCCAGGAGAAACTTGGAGAGCGCTTAACTAGAATGACGACTAGCTAGGGTCAAGCCACACGGAAGGCTGGTCGTTTGCTATGTTGCCTTTTGCCTTTGCCGAGAGGTTTCACGCAAAAGGCTAGTGAGGTAGTGGCGGCCAGAGTCTTTTGGTCTGGAGATGGTTGAAGTAGGGGAGCCGGAGTTGGTGGGAATGGAAGAAGTAAAACTGGGAGGCTGGCCGCAGGCAAGGCGATAGGTCACAGATACTTGAATACGCAGCTAAAATAAGTGTAAAATCAAGTACTAGTGACTTTCACTCCAACAAATTCTCGCTTTAGTTCCTCGCTTATAGTTCAACAGATATAGCTCAGTCTATTTTAAAAGGCGTCTAAATTATCCCCCCTTCTCGGTAATTTTTATTCTACTGGGACTGTTGGGCTGCTGTCTGGGATAGCGGATTGGGTGCATTTCGTATCTCTCCCAGTCGGCAATCAAAGAGCAGAAGTGGTCCAAGTGTTGCAAACTGATTACATTAGAAGAAAAGTTTAATGGCCTTAGGACAGCCTGACTAGATTTGCAACGCGTTGAGAAGGAATCGGCGGCTACAGCTCAAACCATACTGTGTGCCATTGTATCGGCTACATTCATTGGTGCTTTGCACGTATAGTACATATATGCCTGTAGTTAATAAATTCGGCTATATTAAGGAAAACGAGATTATGAGGGTAGAAAGCTGTAACGGGAATATCACTTGGGCGTTATGACATTATTAAATCGATGAAAAAGAAGAAAAAGGACGAAAAAAGAACGGGGGGTATCGGGAGAGGTGGGAGAGGAGAGTTACCATTAAAAAGATACAAACAAATCTATAGCTATCAATGGCCGTTGACCCTTAATATAACAATAAAGAGAAAAGAAGGAGGTATTGAAAAAGCAGATCTCTCTGTTCCAAGTTCACAGAAGGAATGAAAGGATCTAAACTGAAGTATTTTCCATATAAAGCCTAACACCAAAGATCAGAAATATAGATCGAAGCCAGTCTAACAGGACATGCAAGGAGTTGTGTTCTTTCTTCCTTTCTTATCCTCATTACAGAAATCAAAATACAACATTCCGCTGTTCAGATTCACCATCTTCCCGAGGCGGTGTGGAAATAATGGAGCCTGACAAGGACGGAAACGAACGCCACACACAAAAGAAGCGGAGGTTTTATTTTAACCAAGTACAGCTATAGAAATGTTTTGATGACATAGCTATAGCGATTGGCGATACGAACGTAACTCTGCAATGACGGAGTTGAGTCGAAGGCTATTCTGAAAGGGAGGGATAGATAGGCGGATCGCGTCCCAATTCATGTGTGCATTGTGCCGCTATAACCAGTCCTCCAACACCTAGAGTCAGAGCGGAGTAAGGGGAGTAAATCTATCTGCATTTTTGCATTTTCCCAAACTCAACCAGCGTGTCCAATCTGCAAGAACAGGGGAAGGATCATTCCCACGACAGTTGCGATCAGATCCTTCATGGACTTTTGTTGGGTTCTTTGTGCATTATCCCGATCATGGACAGCATATCCGTTGGCATATGATGAATCACGCCGGGACATTTCCGTCGACATGCCCATTTCTTGCATCGTGTGCATTGCAACATACCTAAGTGCGATGAAATGGTTAGAATGCATTTTTTTTATTCCTTCTGAGAGAGAAAGAGAGCGCGCTCACAAAAATGATCCCGCCGAAAACAACAACAACATTCCCGTCCGCCACTGCGTTGCCCGCTCATCACTTGCATTGCCTGCCAAAACCGTATGGGCAACAATCCACGTAAGAAGCGCACCCACTGGCGCTCCTAGGCTAAACATCAACAAATGACCCTTTACTGCACGGGTCGACAACCCTTGCTTTAACAATATCGTGGTTAGCCCAAAGGCAGCGGGCGCTTTATGTACCATGATCGCGAGGAAGACGACGAAGCTGAGGTTTGTGTCGGATATCGATGCGCCGAGTGCCACTCCATCCGCCGCAGCGTGGATTACCAGGCCGATTGTGGTTGCGAAGCCATTGCGGGCAGTGCTGCTGCTGCTGCTGGTAGTGGCAGTGGTAAGAAGGCCACTGCCGACGCTGCCGGTTCCGTTGCGGGAGGGGGAGGAAGCGAGACTAAGGCCGAAATCTAGGTTATCCAGTGATATATGGTAAGGGCGTTGCTGTTGGTTCGTGGGCGACGAGGCGACGGAAGGGAGGGTATCGATTAGGTACATTAGAATGAAGCCGCTGATAAGAGAGATGCCGACCCAAGGGTGCGGCGAGGTTGGTTGTGGTTCCGCTCCATCCTTTTCATTCTCTTGAGTCTTGTCCTTGTCATTCCCTTCGTGGTCGCCTAGGATGTGTAGCCTTCCACCATCACCTGATTGTCCGGAGTCCACCTCGTGCGGTGAATCCACTTTGGCTGAGTCTTCCGACTGGAGTGTATCTCTTCGGACAAGAAAGGAGGTGCGGGCAGCTGAGTGCTGCCAGCGCGCATTCAGCGCATGGATTGTTCCTCCATCAACGGTGTCAACATATCTCTTGTTGGAATGCGTATGCGATATCGCGGTGGAGCTGTAGAGGGTGTCCACTCCCTCGGGGATAATTACGATCAGGGATGTGCCGACCAGGACACCCATCCCAAGGGCGGATATAAAGCGTAATTGCGACGAAGATAGCGAGAAGGAGAGTGGGAGTGAACCAATGACGAAGGAGCTGCAGCCACAATATAGAGTAGAAATAAGGCTTGGTGTTCGAGAAATAATAGTAGCAGCAAAATACTTCGGGTCGTGGTTTGGGGGAGATGGGGAGAGGGGATCAATTGGATTGGAGGTAGTCTTACGCTATTGCCATCAGCAAACTCAAGATGAGTAAGGTTAAAAGCCCGTACATCATGGCCTGAGGTGCTCGACTATTCCGACCAACTGCAGATATATCAGGCGTCTCTATCTATCCATCGCGAAAAGGAGCGCCCGTTCGGTCGGGACCAGTTATAGAGATATGGATGGAAATAGGAAGTGAAAGACAGGTGGGGACGATGGCGAGCAGCGGAGAGGAGGGAGGCGGAGGCCATGCAACGGCGAAAAGGGGAATCGCCCGGAATCTTTGTTTCTGGACTCCGCTGCGTGCCCAATATAATTATTTTATAGAGTTGACGACACGGGGAGATCGAGCGCGCGACTTTGGTTCAAGTTTAGCAATAGGGTTTCAACTAGTTATCTGGCAACCAGAAGTCAAGTTAGATTGGCCAACGGGAAAAAAATGTTCCGAGTCAAGTTTAGCTGCAAAACCAAAAAACGTCCCCTCAAAGACTTTGAGGTTGAGGAAATATACAATTGTTGGTTTTTATTTTATTTTATTATTTATTTCTTTATTTCTTTATTTTGCAACCGCGTCGGCAAGAGGTACAACATCCTAGATCGCTGAACTAATCTGACCAGCATTGATCGGACAACAACATCTGTCAAGCAAGCAAGAACCTGCAGCCCATTTGAAGCTTTTCAGGCCATGCGTATCAAAGACACTCACAGAATTTCTGAGAGGAAAATCCGTCGAGGTCTGTGCCTGCGCACGAGAACCTTTCTCACACAAGATCCTTTCCCGCAATGGAAGTATAAACGACTTACATTTGGAGATTGTCGAGTATGCACTTACTTTGCTGCATATCTGTATGATATATGGTGAAGAGGAGTGAGGGGAAAGCGTTCTGATGGGGAGATCTTGGCCCCTTTACTTCAAGCCTGCCATACAAGTGGGGTTATTGAAGGTCGAGAGGTGAGTGTATTCTCCCAGTTATCGACAGGACTCATTCCTTGCCGCTTATATTCAGTGCCGGGCCGTATATATTGGCAATCCCCAACACAATCATGGTGCCTTTTTGTGGCAAAAAAGTAGATGGCCTAGTACTCTGTTCATGCCCGAGAGGCCAGCACATCTACATGACAGGATAGAGGAGATGATCTCATTCTTGACCTTATTGCCTGTTGAGGAACAATAGCTCGTACCCAGTACTAGTCCTCGTAGATAAATCCTTCGGCCGGCGGAGCTGTCGAAATAAAACAGTCTTAGGGATAAGTCCCAAGGGCTGAATCTATTCACTTGCTGTTCGTTCTCATTGTTCCAGAGCGTAACAAGTGCTCAACTAGATACTCTCAATGAACGGAAATTACCTATTTAGGAAAATCAATGGGGCATCTCAATCACATGACATATATCTGCCTATTTGGGTTAGTAATTGGTCACTTCAACCTCATTAATTCGACGCGACTTCAAGAACGCGCGAGACTACACGTCGGCTGACCCCTCGGGTGACTCACCTGACCTACGCTAGTGCTAGTCACCTGACCCAAATAATTTCTTGGCACAAAATGGGTCAGTTGAGGATAAAACAAAAATGAACTTTTACCTTCTCATACATCTATAATACACACAGTGAAAATGAATATTATAATTCTTTTTTTGAATAATAGAAATTGATTAAATCTTGAATATTATTAAATTGAGAAGTATATATAAACTATGAATGAAAATATAGTATATAAAACTAGTTCTTTACTATTATTTAATCAGTTACTGACTAGTAAGTTACTAGTTAGTTATAAACTCATTATTAACTATTAATATTGCACTAGTGAATTACTGATATATTACTAGTCAGATACTAGTCAATATAAATTTAATATACAGAGTATAGTTATTTAAATTATTTAATATATTAAATTACTACTCTATAATTAATCAATGACTAGTCACTGACTAATCAATACTTTTTTTAATTTATTTATTATTACATAATTCTTAGAGACTTTACTTCACTCTGTGAGTCTGTCTTATATAAAATTGAGTGATTAGTAGTGGACTAGTATTGATGATGGGGGTGCTAGCAGAGGCTCAGGGCAGTTGGTAAGAGCTTGTAAGAGATCAAGTTGGTAAGGAGCTCAACTGACCCTTTGACTAGTCACCATTTCTATAGGGTCAGGTGACCTACACTAGCGTAGGTCAGGTCAGTCACCCGAGGGGTCAGCCGACGTGTAACCTGAGAACGCGCTGACATCGAGGACTTGTTTGACAATTGATATTGATATATTTACTGTCAACGCTGCCAGCCCCCATTGCGAGACTTATACTATATGGTTGTCAGCGCGCCAGCTGACATATTTGGCCGAAATGGAGAACCAATCATCTTGTGAGCAACATATCCTGCCCTTCGGATTTGCCGTTCCTAACAGCTCCATTCTGGAGGATGGAGATCATAAAAACAACTAATTCGCTGACCATTTACTGTTTTCTTTCGCGATATAGGGACCTGTGATGCCAGCCATGCCATTCAGATATCCATGGTCCAACCAGTCGAAACTAAACTAAATACGCTCTCCACGTTTCGGCCCGAGTTTACATATCCAATATTTGGTGAGGAGGAAACAATATTCGGTTACAAGGGATTGAACATCCGAATGCGCTTCTCCGCGCATGATCTCCGGTTAAACGTACATATTTCGTACAATGAGAAGTTCAAGACTGTTGCAGATGTCGCTCCGGTGGATTTATTGACGACCTTGGATCCCTGGCTCCCGAAATGTAAGGAGGCGGCATCCACTCTTTCGTTCGCGGGTTGAATATATGTGGTTAACTTTGTCTGTGTATGTAGCTTCGTTCGTGCCAGTAGAGGAGTTTGAACAATCTGTTCTCAACGATGAAGCTGCGAAGGACTTTAAACCCCCGGGCAAGCTTGTTCACAGCTATTCAAGCAAGCAGAGGAATTATGAGATCTGGGCGGGTTCTTTAGTCGACCCGGAAGTTCGCACACTGCTCGACCGGATACAAATATTTGTTTCCTTTTTCATTGAGGGAGGCAGGCCCATCGCAACGGATGATTTAGAATGGACCCTTCAGAGATGGACGGTCTATTTTGTGTAAGCACCTTTTGCCGACATGAAACAATTCAATTAACCTTCTAACTTAATCTGTTGTCCGGAATAGTTACGAGAAGATAGACCCTCCAACTCCTACCACGCCATCATACTCGTTTGTAGGATACGCAACAACTTATCGATGGTACTTCTACCTCCACGAACCCAGCAACTCCAACAACCATAAAATCACCGACATTCCCTTCCCATACGCTGAGGAAATCTCCATCTCCAAACTCCCCGCACGCCTCCGCATCGCCCAATTCCTCATCCTCCGTCCCCACCAGCAATCCGGCCACGGCTCCCAACTCTACCACACAATCCACTCGGCTTGCCTCGCCGACCCCACTCTACACGAACTCACGGTCGAAGACCCCAACGAAGCCTTCGACTACCTCCGCGACACAAACGACTACAAAACTCTCCTCCCAGAATTCCTCAAACATAACATTACCATAAACGCCAACCCATACCCACCAGAAGACAACAATGCCAATAACGGCCAAAACAATGATTCAAAGAAAGCCCGCCGCTCTCGCCGTCCCCGCTTCATGCCAACTTCCACCCTCCTCCCAACCGCCACCCTCCACAGCCTTCGCATCCAGTACAAGCTCGCCCCAGTCCAATTCGCGCACATCGTCGAAATGTACCTCCTCAGTCAAATCCCTGCATCCCACCGCGGCAGTGGCATAGGTATGGGCGCTGGTGAGGCAGCCCCAACTAGCACACCCACGGCACGCCTTCTTGTACAGAAGTGGCGCGCATCCAACGAGGATGATCGGCGGTATTACTGGTGGCGCATGCTTGTAAAGCAGCGGTTGTATAAGAGACATCGGGATTTGTTGATCCAGCTGGACAGGGCAGAGCGGTTGGAGAAGTTGGAGGAGACGGTGGGGAATGTGGAGGAGGGATATGATGGGTTGCTCAAGGCGTTTGAAAATAGGGAAACACAGGAGGGGGGGGATGGAGACGTTGGACGGGGAGAGGATAGGCCCGCAAGGAAGAGGGGGAAGCGGAAGTTTACTGTGTTTGAGGATGAGGATGAGGAGAGTGAGGATCAGGAAGGTGAGGATAAGGATAGTGGTGAAGCGGGAATGGAAGGTGGAGTGGGGAATGGGGATGCGAAGAAGAAGAAAATTTGAGGAGCTACCTATGTATGGTGCTTTTTCTTCCTTTCTTGACTTTGTATTATTTTCTTTTCCCATATTTACCTTTTTCTTCTTATCCCACGTGTTTCTTTCTAATGTTTTGATGAGTGAACAGTTCATTGGAGAGTGGAAGGAGTTCATTTCTTCTTCTTTTTTACTCTGTTTCAATTTCCCTTTTTATTTTGCACTTGTCATGCTGGCAAACGCCATGTACCGTCGATGTGCTTCCTTACTTGTTCCATCAATTGCAGAAATCAAAACCAAGCCGCAGCACCTTGTTCTGGTAATTGGAGCAGGGTTTTCTCAAAACTTCTTGCCTTCCTGCGCTTAACTCTGGAAATGGCTCCCAACTGGCACTCCCTATTTCATTCTTGGTACCTGTCCTCCCCTCAATTGCACTGACAAGGAGTGTCAAACGACAGGAACCGGGCAGATTTTGTCGTTTTAAGAACGCCAGTGACATACGCCGAGAAAGACGGATTGGCGGGGAAGAGAAAGTTCCAAGGTTAAGCAGGAGAGGGTGGTGACATGGTGGCGCTCGGGTCTAGCTAGTTAGTAAGTTGTGGAGGAAATTTTGAATCTTGGAGATCTGCAATCGACCTCCCTCACATTGTAAATAGGCTGAAGCCAGCACCACATTACCTAATCTTCTGCTCCTCTTCTCCTGCTCTCCATGAGTGATATTCTACAAGAACTTGCTCCAAGGGTTAGAATAGGAACACCACTACCCACCCTCCAGCAGAATGCCTTCAACCTCCGGCGACAACCTCCTGAGCCATGAAGATGCTGACCAGGTTTGCTGCCTCAGAAATCCACCTTGTCTGTCGCAGCATTCTTTAGCATCTTTATTATCTGCCGGCCTTAGCCATTTAGCCCAACAAGAGCGGTTCTGGAGTCCATGGTCCATATCTACCGAAGTCGAGGTTCTCGTGGAGGTTGTCTTCTCGCTTTCCGCTATAAGAAAACATGGCCATGGCCACGGCCCGATTGATATTATATTTATTTGGCCGGTGGTATAACCCCTCTCCTCCCTAAAATCTGCTACGGAATTATTATTTTCCCTGAGGCTGCCTTTCACTTCCTCGTTTTCAGGGTGCCTTGCAGCTGAGATATGCTCAAGATTGTTTCAAGCTCAGCTGGAATAGTTCAGCCAAGGTTAATTAATACCTTACTCTCTATCAACAGCATACACAGATCAAAAGAGAAACATATATTGCATCTTGATACTGAAAGTATCCCAGGGGGTAACCGCAAAAAAGGAAGAAAAAGGAATAAGACTGAGACAGGAGAAAAACGGAAGAAAACCGGACACAAGATCGAGAAGGAAAATGAAATACAGCCAAGGAGAAAAGGTGCATACTCGATTAAATTGGTTAATAGATAGTGCCCGCCAGTAGCAGAACCGGACCCAGCGTTAGGAATCCATATCAATAGGAAATGAGATGTACGACTAAAGAAGCGGGGGAGAAAAGGAAGGAAGGGAAGGTGAAATTGCGAATAGGCCGGCCTGCTGCTCCATCAAAACCCTCCGAAACAAGGCGGATATCATATCTGAAGGGATGGGGCAATGCAATAAAAGTAAACAATCGGTATTAAATAAATAAAATATACATATCGTATTATCCAGAAAAACCCCTTATCTTCTTCCTTCAAATCCATACAATACAGCTACCCACTAAACATCGTCGCTGTCTCGGGATCTAAACTATCCAACGTATCTGACGAATCCGTTTCGATGCTCAACACCGTGCTCGTCCGCGGAGAGTAGATGGTGGTGGTCAGTGGTGCCACGGACGATGGAGCAGTGGCGGGGAAGGGCAACTGAGAAATATCCCTCTGATAGTCCCCAGCACTGTCATCCCCAGCTCCTTGGAGGTGCGAATAGTCGCTGCTGCTGTTGTTATTATGCGTGTCGTCACTGCTATAATAGCTGTAATCCGGCCTGATAAGCTCGCCTACGAATTCGAGAACCCTGCGGAATCCGAGAATTTCTGCTTGAATGGCTTCTCCCCCCCCTCCTTCGTCACCCACTCCTGTCCTATTATTTGAAGTAATGCTTCCACTTTCATACCCTTCATCAACCCTTATAAGCATATTATGACGCTGGTGCTGTTGCTGCCCATGTTGCGTATGTCTCAAATCCACCGAATTCCGGCGTCCTCCCCATCTAAAGCGACTATTCCACCACTGACGCCATCTATATCTGCGTGCGGCATTCAGGTAGGCATTTCGTGTACGACGTTCCTCGCGGCGTGCTGCGAGATCGACACGACGCCGCAGCCAGGATGGGGAATTGCGGCAGTGCTTTATAAGAACGATGAAAAGGGAGGTGATTAGAAGGATTATTGCAATGCTCTTCAGTAGGATAGAAGGGCCGCGGGTAGGAATATCGTGACGGATAAGGGTATCATGTCCATATAGGACATGGCGACAGTTTGGAGCATTATAGCCTTCGGGTAGATCGTGACAGTTGCTGAGATCGTTATAATAGTTGTGGGTGTGGTAGTTGGTGAGACTTGTGGGGATGAGTGTAGTGTGAGAGGGGAGAGTTGATACTTGAGAACTTAGAGATGGAGTGGATTGGGGCTTTGTGAGGACATTCGGATTGGGTATATTTGACGGTGGTGTGGCTTGGGAAGAATGTGTTTTGTATGGGTTGCTTGGGAGTGGGCGACAGGGGCTGTCTGAAAGAGAAGAGGGCAGTGGACCGAATTGATGCTTCACGAGGCGGAAGGCGTCCGGAACTATTTCTAATGAGGTCCTGATAAAACACGATAAATTTGCGCACTCTTTAAGCCGTGTCGCCATAGATTTACAGTCCTGGAGGAGATGTTTTCGGATCTCTTGTTCCTTGAATTTAATTTCCTCTTGCAGTTTGTGGGCCTCAGCTTTGAGAGCATGAAGGCGTTTAAGATCTTCGGAGAGAGTATACTCGCTGTTCACGGCTTTATCTATGGAGATCGGTAAATTGGAAGGATCGAGGGGATCCCTCCATGATTCAAATGTACTGTCGTCTAAGAGATCAATGGGGGATGCCACTAGGCGGTATATCCTGGGAGTTCCAACAGAATTAAATGAAACCGCGAACCCGGACGTGCGTTCATTTTCCGTTATTTGATTTGTTGGTTTGAACGTCACGGTGAGTATTTGGGCAGTGTATTGCGCCCCGTCACTTTGAGGGCTAGATATGCAAAACGCAAGATAGTTGAGAGATAATTCATGGGTTTGCTCTCCGTTGGTCATGTTAGCAGGGAATATTCCGGAACCGATTCCATTGTTGCCATGCCATACAAGGTCCAATTTGCGCTGGTTGAGAGTGACATTTGCCTCCTCACACGCGAATTGCGTGCTGGAGATGTGAATATCAAAGACCTGGATTCCAAAAAAATCAGAAAACTTTCTTATGGTAAAAAATAAACTGCAGAAATCCATTGACATACATAGCTTATATCAATGGAGCCAAAACAACCATCACATAAAGAATCAAACCTCGTAGTAGTGCTGTTTTCATCATCTATATATAAATACAATTCATATAAATGTCAGTTTCTAATATAACTAATAGCGTAAAATTAAAATAGAACTCAGCCTGACCTGACCATGCTTCCACAGGATAGCTAGGGCCTGGATAATCGTCATCGTAGGAGGCACTCCTCGTGTGCGGAATAACATGGGAGAATGCAATGGCAAAGCCACAAGACCACAGGAGCGCGGAGGCGGCGCGCACACGCATATTGGATCACAGCGCGCTGCCACGCTCAGTCATTGACCATTGTTATGCAGAGGCACGACTCCAAGGATTCTTTATTTGGGTATCTCTGTTCCAACATAATATGCAAACTCGTCGATTGGCACAGAAATCCAACGTTGCGTTTGGAGTGAGGCTCAGCTCTCGGAGAATCCCGAGGGATGACTAATATTCCGCCGGTGTTTCGAGCCCGCGGCATCGGATTAACCATGTTCCAGAACAACAGTTCTTTGCCAATCATGGCTTGAATTGGATATCAAATAAAAATAAGAAAGAGAATGCGCTGGCTGTGTTGAGAGAATATACAAACGAGATATTTTGTGTTGGATGGTCGCCAATGCCCCGATAGTACCAGACTAACGCCCGGCATTGCTTGATCATGGTACGTTTGTAGTCGGAGCTCCCAGTCCTACCCCTCGCTTCTTGCGGATAACCAAATAGCTACATATACTCCAACACTAATACTTGCTTCTACTCCATCCAGCTCCCCTTAGGCCTGCTAACAGCCGCCCAAGGCCATCCCATGCTCGTCGAGCTTAAAAATGGCGAAACCCTCAATGGCCATCTCGTTAATTGCGACAACTGGATGAACCTGATCCTCAAAGAAGTCGTCCAGACAAGTCCCGAAGGTGACCGCTTTTTCAGATTGCCCGAGGTTTATGTGAGAGGCAATAATGTACGTCTGTCACTATATGTTCATTTCGCCTTTTTAACATATATAATTATGTATATATATGTGTGTAGATGGCTAACTCAAATATACTAGATCAAATACTTACGAGTCCCCGAAGAAGTCGTCGATCTGGCAAAGGACCAGCAACAAAATCAGTCCTCGAATCGGACCCGTGGTAGCCAGCAGCATCGTGGGGATGGTGGGAGGTTAGATCGCGCGAGGGGTGGGGGTCGAGGTGGAAGGGGGCGTGGAAGAGGACGGGGTGGCAGCTGAAATCAGGGACATTCTACTGTAACTCCGTTTCCTACCCGCCTCCTTTTTGATACCCAGCGTAGAGGGGAGGTTGTGTGTTTCTGTGTGTCTCTGTGCGTGCGTGAGTGTTGTTAATGACGAATTGAAGCTCCCCCTTATTTTGGCGCCTTACGAGGATGTGTAAGCTAAGCACAGTGTTTACTCTTATGGGAAAAATCAAACGGTGTTTGTCGGAAGGGGCTAAATAGCCATATATGCGTTTACTTACGATAGCGAGCTTGTTTTCTTGCTAGGCGTGTTTAGCTGATACGTTACAGCTCCTGCACCCCAATGTATGCGGAACTGGCCTTTCCTATGCTAGAATACCTCCGTTCTTGAGAAAGGTCCCATACTCTACTAGGTAGCGTTGAAATTCAGATGTGATTACAATTTCATGATATTTTCTTCTCTGTCTTGATCTAATTATGAAAGTTCTCTCATTCCTTATATCTCCGTTTTATACTATGGAACGCTACCCGAATGATAATGGGACATGTTGCCCATTTTCGCTATGTCATTTATCAATTCCCCACCGACTCCTCGAACGCCTCACGTAATACCATGCAGTCAATGGTTAGAACTGTTCTTGTCTATAACTCTTTCTGGTAACACTGGCTGGAGAGAGGAGCCGCCAGTCTTCAAAGCTCGAACATCTGTCACCTAAGATTTGTATCTAATTTCACGTTAGCACCGTAGCCATGATCTAGCCCAGGGAACTTCACTCTCAAAACGCTTGCTGGCTCGGCTTGAATGAGGTCATAAAGATCTCCTCAACAGATCTTCACTAGAAGCATTGGGGTCAATACCCCCATGCTCCCGTTGTTCCTGACCTCGCCAATCCGCCGCATGGCTCTCTAAAACAGGTTCTCCTGGCGCTGGCTCGGAGATAACTCTTCCTCCAGTAACTTGTATCCCAGCCCCTGCTTCGGGTTCCTTTTCCGCCTCCGCATACCTCCACACAACCTTCAACCGATCCAACGCCTTGATCCCTCTATTATTCGTCCCACGAATCCCATCCAGTGCCTCCCAATCCACTTCAAAGACGCCAGAATCATATGCCTGTCCACCCTCAAAGTAGGCATTGAACCAGACGTGGGCGACAGATGTAACCATCGTCCAGCCGGTGTACGCAGACATGGCGCGCCGGTCGATGCTGATGTTCACATCTGAGGTCGGAATTATGACTTTGTTTCGGGGGCGGAGGATTATAGCTGGAATGGCGGTTTCTACGTCTGCGGAGGAAAAAAAGATGCTTTGGAACATTTTGGGCCAGGGTTTCGGGGAGATGACGGGTTGGAATGGCGAGTCTGAAGATACGGAGGGCGGCGATGTGTCGTTGGCAGCGGCTGGGAGAGTCGAGCTGTCGGCCTTGCCCAATGTACTCTCGTCATCAATCTCCCTTGCGTTTGGCCAAGTTTTCACTCGCTTTTTGCCATCCTCACACCCATTCTCCTCTCTCTCATTCTCCTCCTCGCTATCACCACCTATTATAACCCCCTCACTCCGACTAAACCGATGAAAACATTTGATTCGCCTCCCTTCCTCAACAAACCCCTCCACATCAACCTCCACGCCATCTCTCAATCCCCAAATATGCACCTCCATCACCTCCACAGGCCTCTCCACATAGACCTTCCCCAGATCCTTCGTCCATCGATCCACATAGCTCACCCACCTCAACTGGCTGGGTATGCTCACACCTTCCCCAAACCTCGCTCTCATTCTCCTTTCCGTAAACCGCCTGAGTGCCTTATCAGCTTCCCATCCCCTCTCACTAATCAGAAAGCTACATGCAATCGTTCCACTCCGCCCCTTGCCCGCTTTGCAATGCACGACAACTACCCGTTTTCCCTTCGCATCATTACTTTCAATATTTCCCATTTCCCTTTCCATTGTGCCCCAATTATCCCCATTTCTCAGCAACCAATTCCGCATACTTGCCATGATATGGGGAATAAGTGCGAATGGCGGTGGGTGGTGGTCTGGAAAGGGAAAGTGGTGGATACGACCGTAGACCTCTTCGTCTGGGTATCCAGTGCCCTCCGCCCGGAATTCCCATATTGCCCAATCTTCGCCGTGTTTGAGGTCTAGGAAACGGACAAGGGAGTCTGTGGGGTTGCGATAGGCACGTCGGGGGTAAGTGGAAGAAGGGCCCGAGGTAGCAATTACTAGGATAAGCGGGTCAATAGCTTTAGGGGGAGAACCGAAATATAATGGGACACTTTAAATCACGTACTCTCATCAGTTACATAGCAGAGATCAAGGCCAGTTTCGGGATGGCGGAGCCGGGGACTCGCAACTATCTGGCGGAGTATGGAGGCCTATTAGTCCAGCCAATTAATTAATCAGCAAAATGAGTGCTCTATTCGCGTTGAAAGACCCTATGGTTGTGAATCAATTGACGGGTAGCATATGTTGTTGAAACAGAGAACACACACCATGACAAAAATAACCAACTCCAGGAGACACTTGATGAGCCGGTAAAGGACGTTCCCTTTTTATTCCCAGGTTATAGCATACAATAACCGTTCATGAGTTGAGGCATCATTCTTAAGTAGCACTTCTGGCAGTTAAAGATGCTGCCGAATATCTGGTGAGTTGAGAATGGGGGCGAAGTGTTTCCATGGTTGTTGGTTGTTGGTTGGTAATGTCTAGTGTTGTTCGAAGTTGCCTGCCCCAGCAATGATGTCATGCTTTGTTAGAATCCAATGTCTCTACGCGCGATTTCGCTCATTATATGCACTATACATGTACAGTACATCGACAAGTTCGGAGCAAGTTAACGATGCATCCACATGATTGTATAGCTATGCATGCAGACAACTACCAGCTTGAAGGACCGATTTTCAAAGGTTAAACAGAAATAAAATAACTCTTGGGATTAAAAACCGTTTGTATAACTACAAGCTGAGTAATGGAAATATAGAATCACATCTACAATGTAAAAAATTTATTCCTCGGCTACGTGACACATTATCAACGCTCCATAAGCTGTCTAGCAATCGGCTTTCGTATCTCGGAATCATATCGCAAAAGCTTCGCATACTGGTCATCAGAATCGAAACATCGCGTGCGAACATGTACCTTCGACCCAGGCGTCAACGAAAACCCACTATCCATCATTTCGACAAAGTATCTATGCGCCTCGCGGAACCGTCCCGCATCAACACAGAGCAGTACCAGGAGTTCGTATGTCATCCGGTCCGGGAAGATGTCGAGAAGAACCATCTCCTGAACGAAAAAATTTGCCATCTCATGCGCGCCTGTGACACGGCAGCCGCGGATGAGATGGTTGAAAGTTGTGGCTGAGGGCCGGTGTTCGAAAACATCGACTAGTGCATGGTAAAATTCCAGAGCTACGGTCATGCTCTTGTGGTGGATGGCCATTTCGATCACGGCATTTACAGCTACCAGAGGCACGTTGTAAAGTTCTTTTGTTTTCATGTCTGCCAGCCTTTGCCAGACAGTTCGCGGCCGAATATTCTTTTCGATACAGTAGGTGAGGATCGACCGTGTGGCAGTTTCGTCAAGCTTGAATGTTGCCTTTTGAGCAGTGCAAAGGACGCTCAAGGCAAGTTCGAGGTCGTCTGCGGCGAGACAGGTGTCTACGAAACAATTGTAATCTTCCAGCAAGAAATTGCCCTGGCGTTCTTGAAGAACTCGGAAAACTTCACGGGCAAGCCATGTATTACCTGTTCGCGATGTCATTACGAGAATGTTGCTGCAGACGCCGTACGGGGGATTGATAAGGCCGAGCTGAACGCGCTTCTTCCATACAAAAGTGACGCATTTCTCGTGGAATGACTCGCTGGCTGCAACGAGTATGTGAAACCACAGGTTGGGCGAGAGCTCATTTCCGGCACTTATCCACTTAGCCATCAGCTCTAAAATCATGTCGAAGTCGCTGACTTCGCAAAGATTATATATTAAAAGGCTGTAGAGCCATGGCTCAACTTGGATGTTCTGGGCTTGCATGCGGGATATGTGGTCCAGCGCCATTTCAAACTGCCCCTCCCGGATGAATCCAGTTACGATATTATGCCATCCTTCAGGTGAAATTGTCAGCCATCGATCGCGTAGAGTGTGAATGATTGTCTGGCGCAAAATATAATCGGGGTGCACTGCGAGGACCTACTCATGGCTTTCCACATTAGTATAAAGCAAATAAATGATCTGAAAGCGAGTAGCGGGAGGGCGTGTCTGGGGCAGGAACAAGCTATACCTGCAATGCCGCATGGAGAGTGGCTGAATCAATTGGTATGTGATTTTCGTCCATCTCCTTCAAGAGACTTCGGACGTGCTTCGGACACCCCAGCAACGCATCCGAATTGGCCGTTATCAGTACGGTGTAATGCCATGTTTGCGGCTGAAAGCCTCGTCTCCGGATAAGTTCCCTCATCAATTTCATGGTATATTTGTAATCCGGCGCTCCCTCGACTGTCTTCCGTAGCATTCTTTCAATGTGGCCATCCTCTCGGTTTCGAGTAGACCAATCCAGATTCTTGTATTCCCAGAGCGTTCTCTTAGAGAAATGCTTCCCCGGCGGGGATTCTATAAAATACTGATCCATATCACCTGGCATATCTGAATCATGCTTCCCAGGAAGCGCGTCATCTTCCGTTGCGACGTTTGGTTTTAATCCTGGGGTGAGCAAGGCGGCTTCTCTGGTTCGCGAGAAGAATCGGGCAGCATTGACGGCGGGATTGACATGTCGCTTCAGCTGTCCTGGGAAGTTTCGCCACTTCAATGACGCCTGCTTGTAAGACGGGCAGAGGCAATGCCATAAACCGTCAGCAACAATGGTTTTTGCAGGCATGTTTCGGTTAGAAGCCGAGGAATGCTTCAAGACTTTTGGCTCTGAGCAAAAGCAGTTTTTGGTGATCTCGCTTAGTCATGATTCAGTTTAGTTAACTTGCGATTAGGCCACCAGGGCAAAAGAGCTCAATCATATAGAGGGTACGAATCACCCAATCCAATCCCTCCAACACTTGCCCCTTGATGGAGGTGGAAGGTAGGTTCATTGTAACTACCTAGCGGGATCAGCACTGCTTCCAAGATTAAATAAATAGGTGTGGTCGCGTGGCATGCTAGCGAGCG